CCCGACGACTTTCCTCCATCTTTGCTGTAAGGCGAAGGTGAATTGACTGGATTTGCTTCTCTATTTGAAACGATTCGGGACAGTGAGGAGTATGGTGATCTTATTGCCCACATCTGTTACAGCTTACAAACGTGCTAAGCACCACTAGAAGATTAGCACTGGCTATCCGCCGTCTCGGACTTTGCTTCTCATCCTCGAAGTGCAAACCCTTCTTTCATGATTAGCGGGAGCCACCTCCTGTGCTGACCCTTGGTGGGGATCAGCTTTAAGTCGTTCAGAAATCCACTACTTGGGAACTTGTATCAGCGCCGGTGGTATCGAAGGCGAGGGCATTAATCGTATAGAAAGTATCGAGGAGCTTTTGCTAACCATCGTCACTTATGGCACGGGCGCAACATCACTCTCTCCCTGAAGGTTAGAGTTTCGAATGCAGCCGTACGTCGGGCCCTACTATTAATTTGGCAGACGTAGAGGTTAGCTACGTTCAACCACCGGTGTCTTCGAGTTTTGGCTCTTATCTAGTGGGAACTCCGTGTGAGCAATGAGCTTGTTCGATGTCTTGTTTATGGCACAGGAAGAGGAAGTGAACCGATCAGCACCGTTATTTCGTGCACATGCCTCCGATGGCTGGGTCACGTGTTGCGCATGCCAGCCCACCTACTCTCGGAACATGCGTTGTTTACGCGTCGGGTGTGTGAATGGTAGAGGAGGGGTGGTCAAGTGATGGCTTGATCGAGAGCAATGAAGGCCATTACTTAGACGTTGGCCGCGTTTGGAACTTCTCGGCTCCCTGGTTGGGCTCCGAAAGTGGATAAACACGTTTGGCTTGATGCACTTGTTGATATGGCAAAGTGCCGACTTCAGTGGCGTTCGTGTTGTGAGTTTCTTTGTCCCCCTCCCGCTTGGCTTCTCTTTCCAACCGCGGTCTCATTTCCTACACACAATATAACTTTTTTAGGGCACGATAGCTGCTAGCTCTCCGGAGCGATGTCTATCCGTTACTGTTAGCTCAGCTGGCGTGCCACTGTTGCATGCTTTTTCTTTTCTCATGTATTGCAGCACAATAGCTGAGGTGTTAACGTGTCTAATGAATGAGGAAGAGCCTTCAGGCCGATGACTGCCAACTGTCATGCCTATCTTCAAGAAGGGTCAACGGACTTTGTGCGAAAAATCCAGGCATTAGCCTTATTTATATTACCTCCAGACTTCTCTTGGACGATTCTCTGTTCCCTGTGAGAACCGAATCTCTGAAAGCCAGACTCGCCTCCACTCTTATCTTGCTTGCAGCTACCACATATTTACGTTTCGCCGTTTTAGAGCAGACGATCGACTATGGTGCTTTTCCTTTACTTGAAAGCCACCTTTGACTCTTAGCCGAACCATCTTGTCGCACTGCCTACTCATGAGGGGTGTGCCAGCTAAATTCCCTCCCACACTGTAGTCTCTTTACCGTGATCTGAAGCTGTGTAAGTCTACGGGAAATTGTCTCCTGAGTTCCCCACGACAAGTGGGGCTCGCCAGTGTCGTCCTATATCTCGTTTCTTCATTTAACTTTGTGTACAGGACGACTCGGTGCTTCTAAACTCTATCGGACTGGAAGTTCTGCCAGGTATGCAGACGATGTAGCTTCTTGGATGTGACGCAGTGGCTATGCAAACGCAACTGCACACTTCGATATGTGCTTTGCATCTTTAGACTACAAAGTATTGTTGCAAGACTGGACTGATACGCTACCACTTCTAGCTCTCAGCAAACAAACGCTGGAAGTGGTGAATCGGTTCTCGTACCGTGGTAGCTGTGTCTCCTTTCGTGGCCACCTCACTGAGGTTACTTTGCGTAACAGCAAGGTCCGTGTGGCTTTCCAATGACCCAACCGTCTATGGGGACAGCGAGATGTCAGCCTGTCCGTGAAAGGTAGGGTGTACAACGTTGTGATAAGGTCGGTGTTATTGTGTCGATCATAGACCTGGTCATTTCGCATTGAGGACATTAAATGCTTGGCCCTGTTTGATCACTGGTGTTTTCGATGTGTTACTCACGTCTGTTGGAAACACCGGGTAAGCAATGCTGCGATCCGTCAGTTGGTTTTTGACAAGAAGCCTTCTGGTGCCCCACTGGAGTGTTTGCTGAATCTTAAACTCTTACATTGGCTAGCTTATGTCCTCCGTATGCTTGTCGATCGACTTCCTCGGTGTACATTATACGCCTTAGTTGCACCAAATTGGGCGGAACGGCAAAGTCGCCAGTCGATGACGTGTCGTAAAAACCTGCAGAAACTGATCGATGGCTTTGATCAGACTGGCGCATGCCATCTTCATGGATGGCAACAACACATTTGCAACAGTGAAATCAGATGTCCTGTCTTAGGGAATGCGAGTATTCCTTTCAGTAAGCTGGCTTTACTGCGCCAGTTAAGATGTCTTGGTCATGTCCTGCGTAAAGGCATCCGCGTAGGGGTGGGCGTCCTCGCGGTATACTTAGCCCGCGCGCGACTAGTGGTGGTCGCGCGGCAGCGAAGCGTCGTTACGGCGTATAAGCTGACACATTCATTTCATTTCCTGCGTAAAGGTGCGCGTTTGCCCTATCGCGCTCTCGTGCAGGACTCAACTGGAAGAGACCACGGGGTGATCCAACATCCACCTGGCGACAGCATTTGAAATCGTTGACTTCACGTCTTGCCACCCTTGGGTCCAAACGTCTGCCTACTTGGGACCAAAGGGACGAGGTGTGCCGATAGCTGGAAACAATTTAGGATATAGCTCGTGATCGAAACCAATGGAAGATCTATGTATACAACTGCTTAGATTTAGATACTTAATATTTAACAATTAAAAATGACAAAAAATTAAAAAGATGTGCAAAATAACCAAAAAATGCTCCGTTATTTTTTATATTGTAGTCAATAGCTGTAGTGTGTTGCTCACCTTCATTTAATGTGCCACGATGCTGCTACGGTGTTCAACCTGTCTTTTAGTGGTTTTCGTGGTTATATTTGGCGTTATGTCTATTTGATAGATCGTTGACTATAATACTACTACTACCCTTTATGGATGGGAGCCTCGGGATGGCCCACATCAATGGTTAAAAACCCTTTCAGACATGACACAGTCACGCAGTCAGTGGCGCTCCTGCATTTGATTTCTTTCATCTAGTTACTTCTCATTTCACCACGATTACCGCGCTTCCTTCTTGATTCCATTTTTTCCATTCTATTTTCCTTCAGCCTCATTTTCTTACTTTGTTATCGTTATTCTGGTGATGAGTCGTGGCAACTGAATCCACCGCACTTCAGTGTCCGGATCATAGTTCTTCAGCTGAACTGATCACGGCGACAATCTACTATGTACAAGATGTCGCTTTTGAAAGAGTGGGAGTTGATTGCTTACGCTGGCCTGGTTCTCTGGTTGTGCGGTGGCCGGGGCTAGGGATAGGAGTAATTGTTGTGCTCGTCACTTCAATCTGGTTGCACTTGGATTATCCATGCGTGCTGGACGTTCTTTCTTAAGTGATGTGACAGTTCTGGCTACACTCGATGCATGTGCTGCTATGGTAACTACACTTGTGACCCCTCCCCATTTCAACTAACGGCTGGCCCCTACTGGCGGAAACAAGCTGCATAATCTTTGTGACGATTCTAGGCTCAGGGATTGGTTCTGTCCAGAAGCGTGGTACGAGCCAACCACCACCCGTTGTACGTTCTTTAATACATATGTTCCTTCCGATCTCGTGTATGATCGACTTGCATGTTGGAGAACTCTGGACCGACTCTGCATCAATCATAACTGCCATTCACATGTCTGTCGGTTCTATTAACTTGAGTTTGCACTAGATGAAGGGTGTGTCGTAGAACTCGGTCTTTCAGGGACCAACGGTTTATTCGACAAAACCGCCTTAGCAAAAATGACAGCATGACAAGCATGTAGGAACCTCGATGTAAATAACTAACTCATTTCCATAACTAACGCTGCTGCTGCACTTACGGGATTCCTCCTTTGCATCAGTTAAACAAACCCGCTCCAGCGAACCAATCAGCACATAGACGCAATATGCGTAGCTGTCCAATCAAACTGCACTTTTCGCTTGCTGCACGCCAGCCGTTTGCTTTGCCATGTAAATTGTATCGTCCTTTTGCTTGCACAATCCCATCACTAGGTGTGTGAGGGAAGTTGTGGGTGGTGCGGTGCATCCACCAATAGTATATCGCCACAGTCTTCCTGTGGCAGTTTGAAGTCGCAATGGTAGACAATTCAGGGGACGGGTGCTGTTAGGAGACTTGCCAGGACATCACTGCAATTGGACGAAACAGTAGCAAGAAAGCGGCAACTTGGCTTTACAGTGAAGTGTTGCACAGCTTGTCTGCTGTTTTTTGACTATGTCCGATGGCGCTGTCAGCTGAATGTGTTGATACTCCTTGAGTCTCGAATGCTTGAGCTGGGGCTACTATAACCGCCATCATGGAAGCTGGCGTCTTGGCACTTCTAAATCATCGTGTGTTTGGTATCTTTCTGTCGCTTCCGGCCAGCGTTGGCACAGCTAGAGGGCAGAACTAAGCAACCGTTGAAAACACTGCGATTTGCAAATTCATCTTGCGTCGCCAGTGATCCTAATGCAGCGGTGAATAGAGATTTACCATTGTTTGCGCAAACGAGCCAAGCGTCGCAACGATAAGGCGGAATGTTGATGTTGCAAATGCCAACGTGATCCTTTCTGCGAGAGAAGTACTTTATACAGTTTTCGTGGTAGCATCTTGTATATTGAAAGCATAGGACATTGAGCGTTCCTTGGGTTACAGTCGAGCATTTCGGCGGCTTTAAGGCACATTGATTATCGACGAGGTCAGAGGGTTGCAGCGCAGCGGGATCCCACCTGGGTTGGTTTTTCCATCTTTTTGTATCGCCTTTGTGACGCAAACTTTGTTGTTAACACACAACTACTCTACAGATCCGCTTTTTACTTTAATATCCATACAATCCCAATGTTACTGCCTATGACACTTTCAGATGTTTAAACGAACACGCGAAGCCTCTGCAGATGGGAGCAAAGATGTATCGGGAGACGATTCGCAGTCATCCAGTATCTTGTGCACTCGGAAACGCCGCCGTCTTGCTAACGCGTCACAGGTTGGTATAATCTTTTTGGTTGTTCCATTCTCTTTTCCAGTTTTGAACGTAGTCAAGGTTGGTAGTAGTTGCATTGTCTGAGATTTCTTTTACCTTAACTTTTGTATCCTCTCTTAGGGGATCCTTGGAGTAGGGTTTTAGGCGTTTCTCTTTTCTCTGCACTCTAGGTTCCTGTATGCATTCGTGCATTTCCACAGTATCCCAGCCCGCTTACATCCGCTTGCGGTTACAAAACAGCGATGTTCTGGTTCAAAGCGCTGTTATACTGCATATCCCTTTAATCTTCGTGTGGTGAACACCTACGATTAAGCGACTCCAGTTATCATAAACTTCGTTTAAATTGTAGTGTCTTTGCTCCGCATTCATTCTGACAACAAACCGACTCGATCTCAGGTCTTTCACTCCATCCACTGCAATCGCTGTTGAAAATTCCCCCTTATATTTTAAATGGAAAGAAGCAGCTTGGGGGATATTTGAACCCCTGCTATCTTACTAGTGAAATTCGTGTACCTCTTCTCCAGGGAGGAATTATGCATCGAGAAGCCTAGCTCGTTAATTTTCACGTGGTCGTTTTCATTGTACTGTTGGCGGGCTTAATAGTTCCAGACTTTCTCTCACTTCTTTGTTTATGGTAGCATATTTTCATACTCATCTTCCAGCTGGATCTATGCCAGGAGATATTTGACGCTTTGCGGTCGTACAGAAGCGAGGACGGTTCGCTATGTGAAACCTTCATGCGGTTGCCATCTAAAAGGTGAGTTGATCTTGTCTTATTTGTGCCGATAGCTTTTGGGTCTCCACTCTAACCAACATCATTTATTCGTCTTCCGACCATATAAACTCACCTGTTTATTTTCAGCAATTCGCCTCCTCATAGGCTCATCTACTTTTGTTATCAAGTGCCACAGTTTTTATAGATGACCAACATAAATTTACTTATCGCTCTTTCCAGTCACTTCGTAACCATTTGTGCGAATTTATTCCTCGGCCTCGCCGAATCGGTCGACTTTACCCTGAATTCGCACATCGCTTTCCGTGGTAACCATGGGGTGTTGGACCTTAACTTTTGTTTCTCCAGTAGTAACACACGTTCTCACACGTTCCAACTTCAGCCAAACTCCGAAGCCAACGACCTCGATTTGTAGACGTGTTGTCAGAGGTGCTATCCAACTGCTGCAAGTAATCCGAAAATGCCAACTTATAGATCAATCCAAAAACCTTCAACTTATGAAGTTGCTAACTCAGTTGCATACTAGTTATGCAATAGGGACCCGATCATTGATGCGATAAGTGCATGCGTCTCGTAACGGACCGGACTTTCCTTGAAACCGATAGTTGCTTCCATTGAAACCTTGGTTTTCTTGGGAGATATTGCCTCTTTCTGGATTCTTCTCCTCTTGAGACCATCGTCCCGGTGTATGACGATAGTCATGGATTGACTTGTGGTCTTTTGGACGGTGTTTTCATTTGTCAGTTCCTTGTTTGAGTTGAAATGCCTACGGACGTAACTCTAGACGGCCGTCTGCATCATTAAGTTAACTGCAACTGTCCTTGACATTCTTCCGCAGGCTGAACTTTCCCGCAAACAAGCCAAGAGGCAGATCTAGCTGGCTTCTTCGTTTCTGACTGGAAAAACTTTAACCGCAGCTATTTTACATGGTGGACCCAGGTTTGCGATCAAATAAACACATCATTGATGACTTCTCCGCCTTTGCATTTGATTTTATCCGAGGTACACATTGGATGACTTCCGGTAGTCATCTGCTATTACCGACTCCCGTGGCTGGAATGCGCGTTGCTTTGTTCCGTGGCGCCAATTCTTTTCCCTGCAGAAACGCAAACAGATCGAAGTGCATCGAATGGCATATAGTGATAAGATATCATACGGGACATGCTGGTTGCTTATCAAATTAGCTCACTGAACGAATTTGGATTGGCAGTCTGAAAGCTGATCAATCGCCGCTAGCCGAGCAGCAACGAGTACACGCATGAACGAGAAGTGCCTTGTAAGCTCGCACGATCAATTGGCTTGATCGATGCTCGATGCTAAGTTTCCACCATAGGCAGCCAATCAAGAAAGGCCAAATCGAATTCGTTTAACCGAGGATAGCTTGCCCTTTAAATATGTTGATTTCTGCTCAAAATGGAGTCCGATCGCAGACAATTCCCTGTTTTTGATTCTCGGAGGGCATTATCATCATCATCATTATACACGTCAGCTAGAGGTGGGAAAACACCTCCGCTATTGTGCCGCAATACATGAAGGAAATACATGGTTGACGGCATCCGGTTTCGGATTTGCCTGTCACTGTGGCCAGCAACAGGACGCCTGCGCCTACAGAAGGACCATAGATGGCTTACGCTGCACCATCCACAGCTCCAACCACACACCCGGTATCCAGTGCAAACTCGAAGGAATGAGACCGGGAGGTATGTGGATGGGAGCCACATTTCATCAAGGGAGCCGGCCCACACTCCTTCACAGGCAAACACAAGCACGCTGTAGTTGGGAAATCAAGCGCACACAAGGCGGTGGCTGGACCGTAGTCTGCTCCACACTGAGTGCATGGAACCACTCTTCGAGCCTAGCACGGCCACAAGGACCGTGCACCCCGTCCCCTCCAGCAACGACCACCTGTCTCCTGGAGCCAGTATGGACGAGGTAGTGGGTAATAGACAGGTAGGCACCTTGTTAACATGCACATCAAGCGCAGTCACACCGGGGATATCAAGCAACAGCCAATCACTTGGAACGACAAGATGAAATAAAACAAATCCAATAATGCATACAGATACGGTGGCATAACTCTAAGCTAAATAAGCATATGAAGTAAGTTGGTTAGCAACGAATCCGCGATAAGGAAAAAATGTCCACTAGTTAGTTAAAATGCTGTAAAACGCAACCAAGTTGCCGAAGATAAGCGCAATTAATGTAAGCAACGTGGCCAGTTAATAGAAGAGTATTCAGGTAGGCAGAACAAGCCAAATAAAGTGGAATGAAATTTAGCCAGCTTAAAAAGACCTAGTTTAAGTGTAAGTTGGTTTAGCCCAACTGCGGTGTAGAAGCATCAAGAATGCAACAACATCCTCAGCATCGGGCACGAAGGAAATACATACATACATACATATAATACAATACACAAAGGAAATATAGATACAACAGTTGCATGCCAGCTGAGCTACCAGCAACGGATAGGCATCGTTCCGGTAAGCTACCAACCAGCTACTAGGCAAAAAGAAAAAAATTATTATGTTTTACTCTAGGAAATGGGATCGTAGATGGAAGGGGAAGCTAAAAGGGATGGGGAGGGACAAAGAAACGCAAAGCGCAAACGCCACTGAGGTCGGCTCCTTGCCATGTCAGAAAGTGTATCCAGCCAAACGTGTTCGCCGTCTTTTGGACCCCAACCAGGGAGCCGTGACGTTCCAACCGAGGCTAGCTCCGAAGTGAGGGACTTCATTCTCCTGGACCAAGTCATCGCTTGGCCACCTCTCCTCTTCTTCCATCCACATCCCCGGTGAGCAAACGACGCACTTCGAGGGAGACGGTGGGCTGGCATGCGTAACATGTGGCCGAGCCATCGGAGCCTGGTGCGGGAAATAACGGTGCTGAGCGGTTCAGACCCTTTTCCTGGGCCGTAAACAATGCGTCGAACACGCCCGTTACTCACGCGGTCTTTCCACCAGATGTGAACCAAACTGCGAAGGCACCGATGGTCGAACGTAACTAGCCTCTTCATGTCCGCCGGTCTTAGGGGTTAGGTTTCGCAACCGTACAGTAGGGCGGAGGGCGTTTTACGACAGCATGTACAGCGTTCCTGTCGATTAGTGTTTCTGATAGGAATGCTGCGCTTGATGCCGGCGAGTTTTGACATGAATTGACACAGGAAAAGAAATCTGTCGATTACTTCCTCTATACACCTTTTATTTGGACTTAAGAACTCTCTTGAAAGTGTGCACAACTCTCGACCTAGCCATTCGTTTGCGAATGGAACAACACCTCGCAAGCGTTTTAGATAGCGCAAAGCCTATCTAACTTCATGAACATGACCGAAGTGAATCGATTGCATTTGTTCATCACATGTCTCTTGGTGACCCAAACTGCTGAGGACTCCCCGCAGTTTTGAGACAGTAACATTCCTTGTTCCTTTGTTCATGAGAAACACTTTTGGCCACTTACTGTTAGAGTTGATCACAGGCCCGTCGATCGTGCCTGAAAAATCGACCTAGATACGGTACTACGGTTTCATCTGTCTTGGATATGAGTGAGACTCTGACTTTAAACTTTCGGGACACTTTTGACATCGTTTGATTAGTTCTTCTAGCTGATTGTTCGTTAAAGGCCACTACCGGTAGCTGTGTGCGAGTGCTTTTATCCGGTTGATCCCAGGATGCTCTGAAACTACCGGCTTACGTGCTCTTACAAAGTCTTTAGAATGATCTCTGTCCAAAAATTCACCCAGTCGCTCATAGTAGAGAGCGATTGTCCCTTTGATAATACCGTTGCAATTCGGCTGATGTACACGACTGTGACCAGCTAGTACTGTGGAACTATTTGACCTTCAGTAGTGAGTCACGAAATGTTTACACCCTTGCGGCTTCTATGGTAACCGGTAATTCATCACTCAGTAGCTTCAAGCTCTACTGTCGCTATGATCGCGTCCCTTTCCTCTTGCTTGCGTACTAATGCATCCAACTGATCTATAGAAACCCCTGATTAGTGGGGATGCTCGGAACCAAATTGTGAGTATTCATTGTTGAAGACAGCCAGTTATGTTGACAGGAATACCCCTCTTTGTGTCGAAGACAACTAGCAACGGCCTGTGGCACGGCTAGAGCGTGAAGCGGCGGTCTCGTAGCACATTATGAAATTTCTTCACTACAGTGCTTAAGCTCAGTGCCTGGATGCAGTTTCTTTCGGTTTTTGTTAAGGTTATTGCTGCCTAAGCGATCCTTTCTGAAATCCATTTGGGTACCTATGTGACGTTACAGCACCGATCCCATTACTTGCGACTGTTGCGAAGGCAATTCTCAAAGTGAGTGGGGATGCGGAATAACTTCGAGGCCTCTAATGAGTTGACTCATCCGAAAGCACTCTGGCACTTGCGTCTAGCTCCGTACCTTATCTTTACTCAGTATCTTGTTCAACAGTACATCTAGACGATGCATCTCAGAAATGATACACTGTACTGGCTTATCGGATCACGAAAAGGCCTCAATGTTTTCCGATCTGTTAGCGGAGACATTTTCTTTGTGACTTCTGTGTTCACTAGGTCTAGTCGACGACTATCATTTTTGTAGAATAAAAGCAGGATGTTTGTTGATTACTGCGGAAAACATGTATTTCTCTTCACTAGTCCGGAAACCGTACGACTGGACTCGTACAAGCATCTCATCCTGCCGACTAAATTGTTTTCTGCGTTTCGATCCATTTAGGTAGTACGACAGCTCCAGGAATTTCGCGAATATGATCTCCTTTAATTGGTGGAAAAGAGGGGATACCGTTTTAATATTAGAAGGCAAGAGGTTGTACCAGAACAGTTTATGGTGGGTGTCAGTCGTTACCAGCTATCTCGAGTCTACCGCCACATTCATCTCTAGCTATCAGACAAATCAAGCTTAGCAAAATACTCACAGCCGTACAACTTTGCGAAAATGTCCTCTGGCATTGTCAATGGACGCTGATGGTTATCAAGCGCAGTGTTCAGATCAGGTACAAAATCGACACAGACGTGTACATTGCCGTCCGTTTTTTTACACTGCGACTAGTGAGCGCGGCTCGTTAAATGTACTTTACAGGTGTGCTGACGTCGGTTCGTTCTACTTGGTAGAGCTCCTGATCAACTGTTAGCGCGACCTTGAAGATCGGTCCCCCCCCCCCCGACACAAGCACAGTGTTGGCAGAGGCCTATTCGAATGCAGAGGCAATTTTTGCTTCATCGACTGTATCAGATCTTTGACTGAACTAGATAACGGGTCTGGATTTGCCCGGATTCGATCACTGGTCAAGTCCAAGGACAGTAGTCACTCGCGTTTTCCTGGTATGTCTTCCAGGGCGAGGTTAGGACTGAATGCATATATTAGCACTGAAACTGATGTACACGCAGTTTTTTCCATGCTGCACGATGAAGGAAGTGTATCGATGCTTCATGTTAATATCATAGAAATTGTTCAGCGGTGCTTGGCTACTTCCCCCATACTTGTTGACATTCTTTCCCGGTTGTTCCCGTTGCACAGTGCATATCTTGGGATCTCAGGGTGCGTGGGTGCAGCAACTGATGTGGAGTCAGATATGGAAAAATGACCACGAGCGTGATTATGGGGTCACAGAGAACTCGCCGTGTGTCTTGTATTGTGGCATGCAATCTCAGTTTTTGCTTCGATAACCTTTGAACTCAACCTCTGCGTGTAGCAATCCAGTCTACACGGCGAGTGCTTTGAAATCCGACAATCAACTTCTAACTATTGTGTCAAACGCTGCTCGCGGAGCTCATGGCCTAGTAATCGTGGAGGTAGCCCCCAACCACTATGTGCCAAGTTTCATTCCCAGATAGGCTTTCTCTACTTAACGAGTCCAAACAAGGGCGCACTGTGTTGTGGAGTGCAAAAGTGGGAGAGATTGACCCCGAAACTCTCCACTTCATTCGGATACGGTCCCAGTGATCGAAATGGCAGAGGCTGACTTCAAAGTCAACCGAGGTCACAGTTGAGATTGCGTGTCGCAATCCAAGACATACAGTTTGTGCTCCAAAACCCGACAGTCGACTTGTAACCGTGATATCAAACGCTGCTCGCAGAGCTCAATAGCCTAGTGATCATGGCGCTAGCCGCCAGCCACTATGTGCCGGGTTCCATTCCCAGCTCGGCTATTTCTACCTGATAAGTCCAAACCAAGACGAAACCGTCGGTCGTGAAGTGCAGGGATGGGAAAGAGCCACACCAAAACCCAACCACGAGAATGATTTGGGTGCCAATGATTATGCATAGAAATGCAACCGGTTGCGGCTAAATTAATTGTGGTATTTGTATTTTCCATAGACCTAAGCCTGAAGTTTACATGTAAAAGCGGTAGCATAAGTGGAGATAAGAGCTCGATTTGTTTCCCCTCATCAGATTTCATGTGGACTCGAGATTTGCGAGGTGAGCATGGACGAATACTCAGAGAGATGATGAATCATAAAGCAGATATGGGAGTTCGGCTTGTTCCCCTCTTTACCTTTCGTGGGGACATGGCGGCCACTAAGCAGACATTGCCGAGTAAGCGGAGACTGGTGAAGGACTGCGTGGTTTTCCTGGGTTCTTCTTCGTTTTTTGCTGTATGTTACCTACAATGTTTCTGAGTACTTCCTCGATTTCCTCCTTTGCGCCCAGCATATTTGTTATGGTGTTCACCCTTGTATTTCTCTCTTAGACCACTTTAGCGGTTTAGAATAGCCTGAAAATAGACACCTCTTTATGTGTTAGATCAAGGACATTCAATTTTTGGAGCATCTAGGTCAGTTACCAAAGGCAGTACTGCAAAATTGATTCAACTAGCGAGGAGGTAGGTGTATGCGCGCATGACAGATTCTGGGTCAATTGAAACGCTTTGATACTTCCACAGGCTTTCCGCATGACAACTTTGTTCTTCTGAGTTACCCGGGGGATAGATTGACTATGAAGTAAAAGGATGAACTCCACTTATAAACTGTGCCGCTGATGTCACTTCCCCAGTTACCGTTATCGTAAATTGCCGCTTTCATGATCATGAGGGTTCGCACTGCTTTTCTATGTTATCAACAGTTAATTATTTTAATTTATTTCTGTATGGTAGCAAGGCAATGGTACCAAGTACTCCAGTTGTGCTATTGTTGTTGATTTGTCTTCTCGTTCACAGCCTTTTGCAATCTTTTATTCAGCGTCTTTGTTTTTATTATTATTATTCCCTTGTTGTTATCTGGTTCGGCCGGTGGCCAAATCGGCTTGTCGACGTGTTGCGAAAGGATTAGCTGCCTGTCTTGCAATCCGAAAGTCACTGGTTCGAATCCGCATAGGTGCGGGCCACCTCGCACTAGGGCCGGTCCACTCGCAACTGGTGGTGTTTGCGCGGCAAAGAAGCGTCGGTACGGTGTACCGGGGTATTGCTGACCTCTATTGATGCGACACACTGAACTGAGCTGACTGCGTAACTTGTCTTATCACACTAGCTAGTTGTGACCCTTGCGTTCTTCCAGTTGGTTCACCGGCCTGCCCGTTTATATAGTCACATCACTTCCAGGTTCATATGCTACGATATCATTGCTTTATGTTACCGCTTACCGCATAATTTTACCCTGATTCCGGTGAGAACGCCAACTAGCGTGTAGTTACGAAGTTCCCACTATATTGGATGAATAACCTGCCGCCACATAGTCCTATGCTGATTGATTGTCCGTTTCTGATCGAGGTTACCTGTTCACTTTGTGTTCCCATACCATTCGACTGATACTAAGCTTAGATACCCGATCTGTCCGTGGTTAATCGAATCAACTCTCGTAAATTTGGCTGGCCGTATTAACTTCTGTCAACAACTATGTCGTCTTCACCACAATGCATTTAACATATCTGTACCTTTCACTGGAATTCCGTTCATTTCTTTTGCCTATTACCCTTGATTATTTCTTCTCGAGCCCAATCAACATGCTGCTAACATGGCAGTCGTTTGTCCAACTTCTAGGTCCAACGCTGAATACTACGAAGCTGTCAAAGAGCTTATGGATCTTGCCAGAGTGCAGGCAAAAATCAAATCCAGCGAGTATGAAAGCATTGACGATATGGCGGCAGATATTAACTTAATTGTCGCAAACACAAAAGCATTCTATCCTGCCTCCACAACTGAATTTGCGAAGGCTGTCGAACTTCAGGAGGTCTTTGACAAAGAGCGATATAGGGTTCAGGCCCTGGTAGCTGCGAGCAGTGCATCCACAGCGAGCTCCGCTAGCAGCAAGAGTGAGTTCATTTTATGTGTGATATCTCCAAGAAAGCCATTTGAAGTTCAATTTTTCGTTATTTAGCAACTGAAAATGCTTTCCGTCGAGCAATAATTCCAATGATCGGTGTTTGAGATATCATACGCATGTTTGCGTTGCTGATATCTTGCGGACTAGCAGTCATCATGGTGCTCTTATTGCCCACGTAAGCACATGCTTTAGACGGTGCCTGATGTATGCTCATTTCTGACCAGCTTGGTCATTCCCAGCACATTTTACAACAGACTTGCACACGTTCCAGTCCGTTTCGCGTACACCATGAGGAAATTCAAGAATTGGGCACAATAGCTTCTGTTTAAGCCACGGCTACGATAAGTACGGTTATTCGATACGATTAGAAACACCCAACAGAGCTGCGATCAGATATCTACAATGTGGTCATTTTGGTCATCCCTATCCTTCCCTGATATACTGGCTGTTCCAGCAAGCGTTCTCACTTTGTCGTGCGAATGTTAGCACGTGGAACCAGATTCATGCCCGAATTTACCGTCTGAAACCCATTTGTTTGTATGCACTTTTGTCACACGTGACATCAGCGATTGGCTTTCTGCCGCCTTATCTTTGTACGATAGCCAGCTGTTTGTGACTGTTTGTTGTCTACACAAGGTGTAGGCGCCTTGACCCTGAATGTTTGCTTAGGGCATTAAAGTTTTCAGGTAAGTCCCCCTTCTCTCCCTCTTCTTATTCTTTATTTCATAGGTCCTCATGGTTGTATGGCAGCGAAGCATCAGTTCAAATGGCTGATGTACTGTTGTTGTTGTTGTTGATGATGATGATGGCTTTCTGCCGTCACTTTACGCGACTACATGTTAGGAGTGTGTGCTACTGTCGAAGCTGCCATGTTCATATATATATATATATATATATATATATATATATATATATAGCCTGTATCGGTGCGGTCCTCTTGTACGGCTATGAAACCTGGCCTATTCGCTCGGAAGACATGAAGCGATTGTCAGTTTTTAACAATCGTTGCCTGCGTAGGATTGCTCGTGTGTGGTGGCAACTTCACGTGAGCTTGAGACTGACATTGCGACGACGCCATAGGTGTCTCAGCCTGATGAATCCAAGGCGGGTTTTTTCGATCAGTTGTGAGACCTCGTCTCCAACACCACCACCAGCCATAATGCAACTCCCTAGATAAGTGAATCGGAGGACTTGTTCCAGGATGTTACAAGCAATTATGAGGGCGGGAACACGCATCTGCTAATTCTGGAGTAGTATTTAACATTTGCCTGGGGTGAAATACGGGCCATACTTAGATAAGGCTTGTAGATCGTCCCCAAGCGAACTGATATCAACGGTGTAATCTAAATCCCCGACTTTGTCACTTTTGCGAAGCTCAATATCGCAGTTTTGGACGCCTTTTACTCCTGGTTAGATGACATCTATGGCAAAGTTAGAGAAAAGGTGAAATAGAGCAACTTTGGTGAACACCGCTAGTGATAGCAGACGAAGCGGATAGCCTGCTGTAAGCCCTAACTTTGCCCGACGTGTGACTGTAAAATTCCTTCACAATGATTACAAACATGTCGGGCACCCCTTATCCTTGTAGCCAGTTTCAAAACGCAGATCTGCCTACTAAATCAAGCGCCACTCGGATGTCCAAGAACACTACGATTGTTGGCCGTCGGTAGATGTGACAGAGTTCAACTTGTAGGTATATGAAGATATAGTGGATGCAACCTCATCCTGGACGAAAACCGGCTTGTTGCTCTCGGTAAACACTCTCTCTAGTCACGGAAAGCCTACGGAGTAGGACAGACACCAAGATCTTGGACTCAGCAGAGAAGTAGTTCTGCGGTAATGCACGCAATCTTTGCGGGAGACTTCCTTGAAAATCGGGGCAATGATCGATCCTCCCCCCGCAATTGGAACTTTCTCATCAATCCAAACTTTCCTGAACAGCGATAGCATTTTGCTGACAAGTGCATTCTCTCCGTCTTTGAATAGTACCGAAAGTAGGCTGTCACGGCTGGGAGTGTAATGGCACCTCAATAATTGGATTGCGCTCCGGATCTCTACTTTACTAGGGAGGGGGATCGATGGTGACTGACCAGGGAAACGGAGGTGTCACAGTGGTCTGTGCTGAGTAGCTAAATTGGAAAGCAGTGTTCTGTCCAGCGACCCAAGCGCCTGCGTAGGTTGCTGGTTTTCGTGTCGTCTGACAGATTGTCTGACTGGTAGCTTGTGAATTGCAAACAGTGGCCTTGTTAAGCAAAACAAATAGTGTAAGTTTCCAGCCGATGCAGCGGCATTCATCTCAGCAGCTTTTTTGACCGCCAGGATTCACGGTCAGTGCGAAAACTTGGTTTCAGCTGTTGGAAGATTGACCGACGGATTTCGTTGTGCTCCGCAATGTCGGGCACAGCCCGTTGACGACCAAGCACCTCCGAGGATCTTACTGAGATCCAACTTTTGGATGTTCAGTGGATAAGGCCGCAGCTGAACAAGGTGGTAGACAGCGTGGCTTGTTGCAAATTTGACCAGTGTTGATCGACATCCACAGTAGGGGAGAGAGTGAAAATCTCACGAATCTTCTGTTGCCACTACGTTTTCGCCATTTGGTCCCGCAACTTGAAGGTTAACAGACGGGTTTGTTGGGCCCTAGGTGAGCACTGAAACAGTGTAAGCTGTCGCATGATCGGTTCCAACTCATTTTGATCAAAATGATCTACAATGACATACGCTGTCGCGCCACCTGCAACTTATGTTTGTGATCAATTTCTGACCAGCGTTGAGTTGACGATGGAGGACGCCAGGTGGCATAGTGGCATCCAGGATGACGAAAGCTCATACTGGAAAGAATGTGTTTGTGGTCAGCATATAGACTGAGCCGTCTCTCTCCGTTGTCAGAGCGAACATCATCATACCCGTGCGGTCACCCGAGGGGGCGTTCACATGGCAGCAGCCGACAGACACGTGATTTTAAATCTCCTGCCGTAATGATGATGCCTATTTTACTTGCTCTTAGGAGCAGCTCGTGAAAATGTTGGTAGCACTGGTCCTTGACCGTATCCGAGCTACAGTCAGTGGGCGTGTAGGCGGAGATCACAAAAAGAGCACGCTTGTTTACTTGATGTTTGCTAACCTTGCATGAGCCACGGATCCTCATAGCGCATAGGCGACCGTTGATTGTAATCCAGTCAGGGAGAGTGGTCTCGGCTTTAGCACAGAGGGCGATCCCAACAACAGCTTGCCTAGAGGCGGCAGCCTCAGCGTCACTAGGTAGGTGAAGGTAGAAACAAATAACAGTAGGCATGAATGATACAAGGAAAGCGTGGGTGAATTCGTGGCCTGTGTTTGTGAACTTGGCGTAGTAATCGGACAGCGGATCATCATGAAAGCGAAAGTGTGAACCTAGTTGTGTAGTTCCATGGTTCATCAGTAGGCGAGATGCTACCAGGTTGCCTAAGCTGAAGTAGGTTGGTTGTCTTAGGGTACCACCGCCCCTAGCCTTTGACCAAAGGGCCTAACCTACGAGCAGGCAGGGCAACTTAAGGGTTTCGCACCCTTTGGGAGCCGGTGACTGAATATTCAGCTCATACGTCTTTCGGATTACGAAAAGCCTTACCAGGGGCCCAACACTCCCGAAGTCAAAGGCAGAATCCGATGCTCGGATTGCTTGCTGATATACAATGTCTCCAAGGAAGACAAGGAGCAGTGACTTTATTTAGGGGCGAGTTACATCCGCCACATTGCAGTGTTGTTAAGCAGACATTTGTGGCTTCTTATAGGGAGAACGCTTGCTAAGCGTAAACCCACCACGTCCCAGAACACTTCCGCTGAACCATTCACTCGAACGGGAAACACCCGAACCACCCAGCGGGCACCACGGGGAGGTTGTTCGGCAAGCCAACTGTTTGGTTTAATCGTTTGAGTCTCATTGATACCCCTCGTTCCCACTCTTTCTGCCGTGGTTGCATGGTAGGGAAGAATTTGTCACTAAAGTGCTCTGACTTATTGCCATTATCAATGCTGCGAACATCTCTGGGCTCGAGCAGCAACTGTTCAGTATTTCTGTTTTGTCGCCCTATCCCACTTGCATTCAGGAGAAATTCGTTCCGACGCCAGCCACTTTTCTTATATCCAGTACCTAGAGTTCTACTTGCCGCGCTATAGTTTTATTGAATGTATTCTCTTTTTGTGGCCCATCAACTACAATCCCAGTGATGTGCAAGAGGGGATCTCGCACAGTTGCGTCACGTACCATGTCGAACGTCACGGGAAGCTTCCTAAAATTCTCCATCAAGACCTGGTTGACCTCTGATTCAAGGGAGATTGCTGCAATTATAGATTCTTCCTGCTGATGCTGTTGTAGCTCCAATAACCGGGAAAGTGCGTCTGCTTGACCTATGTCCTTTGTAGCCGTGTACTTCACCGCAAAATCATAGGCGAGTAAGGCCGTGGCCCAACGCTGCAGTCTGTTCGCGGTATAAACGGGTATACCGGACTTTGATCCAAATATGGCTAGGAGTGGTTTATGGTCGGTAAGCAGGGTAAACCTCCTGCCATACAACATTTTGTGAAATTTCTTTATTGCAAAGACTATCGCTAATGCCTCTTTCTCTATCTGCCCGTAATTCTTTTCGGCTGGCGACAGTGATCGAGCTGCGTGTGCGATCGCTTTTTCCGATCCGTCAGCAAACTTATGAGAGATAACTGCACCCACGCCATACTTCGAAGCGTCTGCCGCCACCACGATTTCAAGTGTAGGGTCGTAATGTGTCAGCATAAGGTCAGAACACAGCATTCGCTTCACCTCCTCAAAGGACTTCTGACAATCTTCGGACCAGTGCCAACGTTTGTCCTTGGTGAGTAACTCATTGAGTGGTCCACGCACGCTGTGCATATGTGGCAGAAATTGACTGTAATGACTGACGAGTCCTAAGAAGGACCTCAGAGTAGGCACATCTTTGGGAGGTGGCATCTTTTTTATAGCATCAATGTTTGACGGATCTGGACGTCTACCGTTCTTGTCAATTATGAAGCCAAGAAAATTAATGGAGTCCATGAAAAACGTGCACTTTTCTGGGCGAAGTCTAAATCCGTACTCTTGTATGCGATCAAGTACTGAGTGCAGCTTTCTGAAAAGGTCATCTGGGTTAGTTCCGACGACAATGATATCGTCCAAATATGCGGCAGCACCATCTACATCTGTTAGCATAGTATCCATGATTTGCTGAAAAATTGCTGGCGCGGACTTAACTCCGAATGGAAGTCGATGATACTGATACAAACCTCGGTGCGTATTTATCGTCAGTAATTCTCTAGAAGCTTCATCAACTTCTATTTGTAAGTACGCATCCGATAGATCTAGCTTGGCAAAACACTGACCCCCATTTAGTTTCGAGAACAAATCATCTGGGACTGGCAGAGGATACTGATGCGTGTTTAACGCTTCATTCAGCCCAGTCGAAAAGTCGGCACATATTCGGATCTGGCCGTTCGGCTTCTTGACAACCACAATTGGAGCCGCCCAAGAAGAGTAGTTCACTGCATAGATAACCCCAAGTTTCTCCAAACGATCAAGTTCCTGCTCAACAATTGGGACTGCTGCGTAAGGTACTGGCCGCTTTGCACGGAAAACAGGAACAGCATCGGGTTGTAAGGACAATGAGGCTTGCAACTTTGTACACTTACCAAGTCCTTCACGGAAAACAGGTGCATATTTCTCTCGAATTTGTTCGATTGTCATTGCCTTGGGGACTTTTGGTTTGTGTAAGTGTACACTTGCACAGATTTGATTAATGGGAACATCTAAGAGGTTGAATCGCTCAATCCAGTCTAATCCAAGGAGGTTCAAATTCTTGTGTGTTGTGACGAAAATAGTTCCCCAAGCGGTGAAGTTGGCAAAGCGACACTCACATTCAATCTGACCGATCAAGTTTAGACTCGTACCTGATGCGCTCTTCGCTTTATGGTTAGTTGGTTTAATGTCAGGTGAACCGATAGCTTTCCATAAGTTTTCCGTAATGACTGTAATATCGGAAGCCGTATCAATCTGCAGACGCGCTACTCTTCCGTTGATGGTAATAGTGACGAACTTTCTTCTATCTTTAACATCGTCCGTATAGTTAGCGTTTACTCTTGTCGCGAACCTTCGGTAACGTGCTTTTCGAGTATCACATGACGATCTAAATGATGTTTTGAATCTGCAGTGGGTCTCCTTGTGCCCCCGTCTAAAGCACCTTTGACAAACATGTTTGCTGAAAGGACACCATCTCACAAAATGCCATCCTCCGCATTGCCAGCAAGGTGATGGGGGTTTGGATTGTGGATATCTGCTAGGTTGAGCGGTCGGTGGGTTGTTTCCTGAAATTTGATGGACAGATATATCTGCGGAATGTGCTCTCGAATCTTCCACCATAGCCGTATCGTGCTTTAAATTCATGATCCTTTGGGCTTCAGCAATGGCGTTTTGTAATGTAACATCTGTGTCGCGTTCCAACATACCAAGTATTCTCGTTCGTATCTCGGCGTCTTTTGGGGACTGTAGACTGCATACTAGTATCAAACACTCGAACTGGTCTTCCGTGAGCGACTTCAGTTTGAATTTCTGGCATTCACGTTTGACTATCGCCGCGTGAGCAATAAGACTGTCATTGTCCTTTTTGCATAGCTTTAGACAATTGTATCGGTTATTGAAAAAAGACGACTGGTCTCCAAACAACGCTGTGAGTCGAGCAACTGTATCATCAAAGCTGAAATCATGCGCGTTGTTTGGCAAAATGTAGTTAATGTATCTGTCATGTTCAACCGTTCCGAGTTTTCTTAACAAAAGGCGAACTTTAGATGCATCATCGAGACCTGACAACTCTGCCCTGAAAACATCTTCATAGCGCCTGAACCACGCATCGAATATTAATCCTGAGTCAGGATCGAATATGAACTCATTAACACTACTGATCATCGCATCCGCCGAAGGCTTCCCATTGTTCTGAACGACCGTAGGCTGCACAGATAACATTTGGGTGATGGTTTCAATCATACGCAGCTGTGCTGTTTCAAATTGCTGCTGTTGCTGCAACAAAATGATTTTCAGGTCTTCCGCTGAAATTGACATCTTGATCCACTACCTTCCGTCGCCAAAAATATATGTTATGGTTTCGGCTGACCTACCGATGACCTGCTGCTAGCATGCACTCTGATCAACCCGACTTCCCAAAGCAGGAGACCGGCGTACGGCTGGCACGTATATTTTGCTTAACGTCCAACTAACGGTACATTCAATTTATGGCCAAATCAATAGCCCTCAGCGTAAAACGCTCTCATTGGCTGGTTCCGTCCCATTACAGGAGAAATTCGTTCCGACGCCAGCCACTTTTCGTATATCCAGTACCTAGAGTTCTACTTGCCGCGCTATAGTCTTATTGAATGTATTCTCTTTTTGTGGCCCATCAACTACAATCCCAATGATGTGTATCACCATCTAATGAACAGTCGCTTATGTGAATTTCATTAGTATTTCCTGAGTTCCTTCTGCCCTAGGCCAACCGAGTTATTTTACCCGTGTTCTGTTTAGACGTCTATCTAAGTGTTAGCAACTTGTTGACTTGTAAGTTGCTCCATAAGACTATCCATTCTGACTGAAAGCTGTTGGTTATCCATCAACTTTTGTCCTTTCTAGTGTCTTCCGATCCGGCTTCTTCAATACTGATTCGTAAAATTAGTAAAATGGAATACAGCAAAGTCACCACTACACTTACCCTCGACATACTGAGAGTTCGACACTCCGAATCGTTTGACGATCGGCGTTTTAACGTCTGGCATACGCATCACCCATTCTAAATTGCATTGTATAATAACTCTTCTTCACAGCACAGTAAAGTGTGGACGATAACCTTTTACTCCTCTCGGAGGCTCGGCTGGTTTTACTTAACATGAGTCAGTCGTATGGCATTTGTTTCCTCGATGGATAAATTTTGCTAGATTACCGCACACCCCGTATTGTTTTACGCTCATCGTTTTATTAATCTCTGCAGACGTTGCTCATTGGTTTAATGCTCCTAGTGATCCTAACTTCTAGCACGTTTCTCATGTCTGACGAGAGAAGTTCCTAATAATAATAATACTAATAATAATAATAATAATACTACTAATAATAATAATAATAATAATAATAAATTTCTTCTCGATTCTCCTCGAGACGCCTGTAGAGACCTGATCGACCGATTACATACACCAACATCAGATTGCTCATGACTCCATCGAAAACTGCCGCGAATAATGAAGCTAATGCACCAATTTCGAACGGTCGGCCGTTGTCCTCCATGCCCAGTGGCATAAGCTGCTGACTGGCGGTTCAACCGGTCGGTGGTCATGGGTCCCCATCCTGATGGAGCCGATGGATATGCACTATTAACGGGGTCTAACAGGTCGAGCTTATCATCTAGTGCTTCTCTGGGCATGCAGAGGAGTACCTGGTTTAGCTGAACTCTCAGGAAAGACACCTAGTCATGGATACACAAGGATAGAATTACTTCGGTTTATTGCCGTGAACTACTCATGAGTAGCCACAAATAGCTCGGTTTACTCGGACATTAATTGGCATCTGAACGCAGCTTTTTGCGTCATTAAAAGCAGCTTCTTCGCCGAATCACAATCGACCAAAGCCCTCAGAGGTAGTGGATGGTTAATTCCCTGATACCAAACTAATCAATCGCAAAACCAAGGTTCACCATTGTTCATTTATTTCGGAAAGAAACTTGTCGTGCATTAGCCCTGTACGGAGACAAACCACTACTATACGCGACAAAGAATAATTCAGTTAACGGAATTCCTGAAGTAGTACTTCCTCTCACTTCCCATATCAAAGTCTCAAGTTACCCAATGGAAATACTCTCCCGTTCTGAAAAGTACTAGAATGATTGGTTTTGTTCTCAGTTTTCGCCGAGTGACCGAATAAAGTTTTATTAGGACGCATTTCGGACGTCCATCGACCACAAGTCGCACGATTGATACGGTTACTTTTTCTGAGCGGCCATCAATCTCGATTGGTCTTTATGACGTGTTTAGTCTCCTTGACCATCTTCTTCACTCAAAATATGGTTCCATACTATTGTACTTAACGGTCCAGTCACCAAGGTACGTGTTCCCCGTATGCATGTCCCCCATTCTTATATGGTCGAGTAGTGCGTGGGAACCTATTCTGCACCAGTTAACTTCCACAGAATGAGCTTATTCTCTCAATATTGCCATTCTTAACATCTTGGACTCTTCGTTACCTCGGGTCTCTGTAACAGGATCATCCACTAATGGCTGGTGTACTTTTTGATAATTTTGTGCATGACATCTCTGAAAAAATCTTGGTTCTCATTCACATGCTTCTCCCTTCTTCTCCCTTCTACACCACACTGGGTACAGGTTTTCTTTGTGAGTTTGTAATCCATGTTTAGGTGCAGATTTCGTATGACTGCAGTTCCGACTTCAGGTTACCCCGAAATCGGCGACTACGGACAATACATACTTTGCTGCAGTTTGTAATCTAATTTCATTCCTTAGGCTACTGCCTTTGGCGACCGCTGTTTTGGTTGTCACTTTACAGTATTGTCATAGGCATCAGCTTGTACTAACAAAGTGTATTCGTTACTCCTGTTTACACTTCGCCTACCAACACCCGTGCTTGTGAGATGGATTCTTTGATATACACTTTTGTAGCTTCTCCCTTGTCTTATCAAGCTCTTGCCCTCTTCCTCTAGCCGCACACAATCGAATCCGCCGACGTCGTAGACCTAAGCGCGAGGAACCCGACGATGACGAGGTGGGATTTTTGTCCACTCAACTTTTCCGTTTACTCTGCAGTTTTCATTATCATTTTCAGAGCCATCATTCAACGTATTATTGCTTTTGTCAACATACCTTAATGACCAATCGCAAACGTTCACTGACATCGAGATGGGAACACCGATGCCTTATGCGTTGAAGAGTACTCTGGGATAACCGTAGTTCAATCGACCTCTCTTTATTTACCGGTTATAGGCGCGCTAACAATATTTCTACTTCCAACGTCTCTCTTACTTGGTTGGTAGATTCTCACATCTCCCTTTCATCAGATCCCCTACAAGTGTACACTGTCTACATCTTGATTTCACTTTCACTCAGTTAAAATATCATTCATTTGATTTTCCTCTGATGACGGAATTCACAAAATGTATCGGTCATATAAGTGCCTCTTGGGTAACTGAGTGATCGTGACACAGTTGATTACGCATTTACACAAGCGTCACCTGAGGGAACTTAGCATGCAATCGTCGTTCGCATTACTCGTGTTGTTGCTCCTTAGTAAAGCCCTACTCACTTGTTGAATCATCCACGCAATGAGGTGGAAAGTGACACTTGAAGGGATGCTTTCCCACGAATATCGCTCTGGTTCCTTATAAACCTCGTTCTCTGAGTTCCTCCCTACAGTCATAGACCGTTGATGTAGTTCTTTACCTCCTTTTCTCTTCAGCGGTCTTTTAAACTTATTTTCCCTGTTCTATGACGAACTCAGTAAACACGGCCATGTAAATGACACGTAACAACTACACACACGATATGCATAATGCGCACAATCTGCTCCAATTACAAAGGTGCTCGCTTGGATTCTGTCGTTTGAAATGTTGTGGTGTCCATCAAACTTCAAAGACTATCCTTTACTCGCGAATCGTTACAGCGGGAAGAACAGGCTGCGTTCCGCCCTGACCGCGACTGCATCAATCAAATTTTCACACTCCGCCAAATCCTAGTGCTCCGCCATGTATATCAAAAGCCAACAATTGTTGTGTTCCTGGATATTCGTGCTGCCTTCGATTCTGTCGACAGGACTGCATTGTGGCACTGTCTGTTGAGGAATGGTATCCCCGGAAACTTCGTTTTCATACTGCTTGCTTTGTACAGTCTGATCTTGGGTAGAGTTAAGGCTTATAGCGAGCTTTTGCCTTCTTTTGCTATCACTGGTGGAGTCTGACAAGCATACCCTTTCTCCCCATTCCTCTTCAATCTTGCCATTGAGGATGTTCTCAGAAATCCTCTAAAAAATTCGTTGAGTCCTGGCGTTGAGCTCCTTCCAGGTAGTCGGTTAGTTGACTTGGACTGCGCTGAGTGACCGTTCGTAGGCCGTCCAACTTGCACTTAACCAGTTGGCAATTGAAGTTCCGAAGTATGGGATGAATTTTCCCCATCCAAACGCGAAGCTTTTCTCAAGCCTTTCACATGCCTGTACCTGCACTCACTCTTGGTGGTGAGACACTAGAGGTTATAGAGAGTTTTGTCTACCTTGGAAGCTGCGTCACTATTGGTGGAACTGTTGGAGACGAGATTTTGATGTGTATCTCAAGGGCTTGTCTCGCTTTCTCTAAGCTGAGTCACTTGTGGCGTCGCCATGACATCGGTCTCTCAATTTAGTTGCTCATTTATTGTGCGACTGTTCGCGCTGTAGTGTTGTACAGTTGCGAGACTTGGCCTGTTCGTACCGTTGACCTGCGCCGACTCTGTCTTCGAGCACTGTTGCTTGCGGTCCATTGCCCATGTGTGTTGGCTGCATCCCGTAACCAATGTAGAAATTAGACAGCGCGTCTTGTGTGGAGACACCCACTCGCCCGAGGAGCTCATCCCGCTGCGGCAGATGTCGTGGTTGGGACACGTACTGCGCATGCCCACTCATCGTCTTCCTCCTCGGGTGTTGTCCGCTGTTGCTGGACTGAGTTGGAGGGGACGGTGCGGTCTACAACCTTGAGAACCCACAAGAAAAAGCTGACAAAACAGTTGGTCTCCGTCGGTTGTTACCGACTCCCTGGTTGGGATTTCAGAGCTACAGAGTATTGCTGGTTGGGGACCCTGGAAATCATAGCTCAGGACCGACGTCAATGGCGGACGTGTATCTGCGTGTTGTGCTGATTTCTATATATATATATATATATATATATATATATATATATATATATATATATACCAATTACACAACTAGGGAACGCAGAGCAGGCGTAAGTTGCGTTGAGGCAGTGGCACCATTCAATAGCTATGACAATCTGACCGATAGACAGCAGTCGACACGCACGCACGCGCGCAACACGCGCCTGTAACAGTGTACCAAGATTAAATGATTGCGTCCTTCCAGCTTCTAAGGCAGAGGTTCCGCCAATTTGCCTACTGACAACTGGAACGTGTTGATGACGCAGATCTTCTTGGGTTAGACGCAACAGTTTTGCGAGCTCTGCAAGTCTCGGCTTGTGCTTCGTGCTTTCTAGGTGTAAGCTACTGTTGCAATGTGCCGGCGGTTCTAACCACTACCAAACTTTCACTGGATAGAGTACATCGGTCTACTTAATTTGGTACCTGTGTCACCTCCGGTGGTCAAATCACTGAGCAGGTTACTTCGCATATCAGCTAGACCCGTGTTGCTTAGCAGAGACACTGTGATCGTTGGACGACGGGATATCAGCCAATCAGCGGAAGGTAGCGTGTATAACGATACGATAATGCCAGTGTTACTGTATGGATCAGAGACCTGGTCAGTTCGTAATGAAGACATTGAACACTTGGTCGTGTTTGATCGTTGGTGCTTGCGTACTATATTTACCCCGATTCCGGCAGGATTTGGAGGGCGTGCGCTACCGACCATTCCCTATAGGACGAAACGACCGTCTAGCTCTTTTCTGGATGTATGATGACTGTCTGCCTAAGTCTAGATGCGACGAATCTTCTCAAAAACCCAATAAATCCCCCTGATACTCACATATAATCAGTAATCACCTTAGCGGCTCACTCGCCATATCGATTGGTGGCGGCCTGCAAGCGAAGTCGTTGCTCTGGTGGCGATCTCTGTCCTCTGCACGTTCATGACATGTATGGTAGTAGAGGATAAGCCACGATATATCGCAGTTCGATATCAGTCATGACGGTCCGCTGCTGTCACCCATGGCTCAGTGGCATAAGTCACTGGCTCATATAACTATGGTCGTATGTTCGAATCCGGTAGGATTCGGCGGGTGTGCGCTACTGACGATTCCCAATAGGATGAAACGACTTTCTAGCGCTTTCCTGAATGTGTGCTGGCTCTCAACTTGAGTCTAGATGCAAGGAATCTTCACAACATCCAGTAGAAATCCCCTGCTACTCAACCGGAATATTGCTCACATCTGTTGCAAGCACCAGGCGAACAATGCTGAAGTCCACCAGCTCGTTTTTTTGTAAGAAGCCTTCTGGTGCGTCACTGGAGATTTTGCTGTAGTTTTACCTCTCACATTAGCTAGGCCATGTCCGCTATAGTCCAACCGACCGGTTTCCTCTGTGTGCATTATATGCCATGGTTGCATCAAATTGAACGTAGCTGTGCGGTTTTACTCGATGACCTAGCATAGAAGCACGAAGAAACTGTTTGAGAGACAGCCAGGCTTGTGTGTCATCTTCGTAGATTGGGGTCTCTGTATGGTCTGCGTTAGTGGCTGAAGACTGTCAGACTTAGTACAGTTGCGCAGCCAATAGTGCTCCTGCAATCGCTTTCATGTGTCAAACTGTTCATATGTCATCCGGATTAACTTTGCCTACTTTTCCCAAACCACTTCTCTCTATCTCCGTAATGCATCCGCGATCTACTATCTTTTCTTCGCCATCTTTTGTTACTGCTCTCCTGGCGACGCTACTCATAGCAATCAGATGCATGGTAGTTCGTTGTATGGAACATTTTAAAAAGCTACTCTGCACTACGTTTCTAGCCTCATTCTCTATTGCTTCCTCTTTCGGACTGCTTTTTGACTGGAAGGTGCTCGTAAATTCCTTCCTATATCTTCATCTTCCTTCTCTTTGTCATGACGTCGAGTTCTTGCAAAGTCTGCTTACTAGACTACTCGCCGTGGATGAGGGCGGGCTGAAAGTGTAACAATTCGCCAGTCTCGGGAAGCGAACCAAGGGCAAAAGTCAACCTATGTAGGTGAGTTTTGTTGAAGAGGCAAGTCCTAAGTTGGTATTGTCCCGCTTTAGTAGACTGAAAGGTCTAAAGATCCCCGTGCGTGCTGACTTAGACCCAACAGACAGAGAAGAACTCATTTCGCCGATGATTCAACTAAAGCGACGCACGGACGATGAGGGAACGAATCTCCGTATTGCTATATTCGGGTAGTCACCCAGGTTTCTCTACGAATCCGGATCAACCGGTTTCTGATGCTTCAGGCGCACCAACCGGTTTTTACCATGACCTGCGCGTAGCCTTTACTGATGTCTGCAGTCTGCTGAACAAACGCGATGAGTTGTGCTACTTTGTAACCTCTCAGCAGGCAGACGTACTAGGCCTTACTGAGGCACGGTTAAACTCCGGTGTAACCGTCCAAGAAGTGGAAATCAGCGACTATTCGTGCTTCCGCTGTGATAGACCTTTATTTGATCACGGTGGCGTTCTGCTTTACATAAGGTCTTCCTTGTGTGGGAAACTAGTGAGCACCTACCTAAACGCTGACGGTCTATGTGAGCAGTTATGGTGTTCGATTCACCTCAGACGCTGTGAGATGCTCGTGGGCCTGGTATATCGCAGTCCACTGAGCCGCTGCTTGGACTGGTTGCCCTCATGTTCACAACCACATAAGTCGTCCGCATGGGCGATTTCAACTTACCCGAATAGTGTCCTGAGGCTGAACTTCTTCCCGGCCATTGTGAAGTCTTGAGGAAGTTTGCGGAGTTGTTCTTTGAAATTGGGACCACACAGCCGACGTGCATAACTGCGCGCGCGATTCCATCGTAATTATCCCTGTTTTTGATCAGCTGTGAGCAACGTGTGCATGACATTCAGCTCTTGGAGCCCCTGCTAGCGAGTGACCACTTGATGGTCATAGCCAGGTTAGAATTGCTGCTGCTGCCACCGTATTCTCCCCCGCTGGAGTCAGCCTTCAACTATTGGAAGACGGACTGTAATGGTCTCACTCGAGCAGCGAGTCAAATGGACTAGTCTTTACCACAGGATTCGTCTGTTGAAACCTGTTGTACTATCACTAAAGAGGGAGTGAAATCGTTGTGTGCCAGATTTGTACCCCTGAAGTATCAGAAAGTTGGGCCAGTCAAACCAGTTTGGTTCGACAAGGAGTTCAGCAAACTGACCCGATATACTATATCGAGCGCACTCCAACTTAACGGGTCTTTGTCCTTGAGTGATATTAGATGTGGCTACACAGACATCCCTTCTTGCTGCTTCCAACCAGTAATCCTTTTGTAACCCTCATCGTTGTATTTACTTACAATTGCATTCAAATTCTAACGAGTCACAAATTCCTACCAACATAACTTGCTGATCTAACATTCCAGGTGGAGTCTGCCTCCATTGCTGCTTCCGAAGATTCTCACATCGCTCCGTCTGAAACGAGCACTACCAATCTGACCACCTCGAGTCAAAGAAGCTCCGGCGCTTTCGAAAGTCCGTACGAGATGCTATTTGCTGCTATAGCCAAATTTATTGACGAGGACGGGCGATCGCTTGCTCACACATTCACTTATCTTCCATCACGAGAAGTGAGTTCATTCGTTTGCTTTGTTATGTTTTTTCCCTATAAGTGCACGAAATTGATTGCAGTCCGTTGGTTAACGCCGGCTCATGGCCTAAGGGATCACGAGCCTGCCTTGGAATTTGACGGCGCGGGTTCGAGCCGGCGGTGGGAGCAGGGCGGCCCTCACAGTATCATCAGCCCACGTGCGACCCGTGGTGGTTGGGCGGAAGTTAGGCGTCGGTACTGCGTACCGGCATACTGCTGAAAACTTTATACCAGTAGTTAACAGAATCTTCGTTATAGCACTTTAACGTCCACTGAACTCTAAACACCTACGCTGACAAGGCCATACAACTCTCACGGAGAAACTCATCGAATGGCTGAGCCAGCTTGGCGCCTGATGTGTTTCTGACCGGCAACGGAGTGATTGAAGCGTCTGGCTTGTGATGCATAAATCACCGTTTCAATCCTGCATAGGCGCAGACGAACTCGCAGCATTTGTAACCCGCAGGCGACTGCCTGTGGTCACGTAAAACGTCGGAGCTATCTATTAGCATAATAATGGTGCATTCTTTTTCTAATTTTCTTAGTTGGGATCCTCGGAAGGGGCTACGTCAGTTGTTGTACACTTTACTGGACATGACATCCGCGGCGTCAAGGAAATTCGTTCCTTCACTTTAGACCCTTAAATATTCCGTCTGACAGCAGTACCCCGGTACGCAGTACCGACGCTTCGCTGCCACGCAAACAGTACCGGTCGCACGTGGGCTAAAAGTACTACGAGAGTCACCCAGTCCCTACGAAAGCTCGAACCCACGCGTCATATTACAAGGCAGGCTTGTGATCCTTAAAGTGATGAACCGGTGACTTTAATTCTTTCCTTGCTCTTGAATTATTATTATTACTTTAGCAATGTCTGTTTAGGCAGCTGGAATCAACTGCGCTTCGCTGCATATATATATATATATATATATATATATATATATATATATATATATATATATATATATATATATATATACAAATGCCACATGCTGAGGCTGATGTTGCATTCATGATACTTCTTCGCCGCAGTTGGCCTAAACCAACTTACACTTAAACCAGGTATTTTCAAACTGGATAAATTTCGTTCCACTTTCTTTGTTTTCTTCTGCGTACCTGATAACCTTCTCCTGGTTACTCATTTGTTCGCCGACCTGGGAAATTTTGTTTGCAAACGTTTCACCGTCATGCGAGGCGGCATCATCAGTGCGTCGAGATATGGAATGTAATCTCCCTGATTGAATTGTCGATCCGTGATCGGCGTGCAGGTGACTTTTCGAAAGTGACGGCTTCGATCTGTGTCCCGTGATCTCTGTCCATTTCCTCGTGGCGGAAGTCGTCGCTCAGGTTGTTCCTATTCAAACGGCGTCTTATAATTTCTCTAAGTTCTCTCCGTCGGAGGGGTTGGTACACTGGGTCAATCTCGATATGCATGTTGATCGAGTCTTGTGTTGAGAACCACGCTTCCAGGAACTCCCTTGCTCTTCTTGTTTCACCACGTTCCAGGACTTCTGTTTTGCCCCAATCAAAGCTGTGTTCTTTTTCATCCACGTGTGTTGAGACTAGCGATGATGCATAGGGCCTTTTGCATGCTCTTTTGTGCTCTTGTAATCGTGTTGATAATTTTCTACCAGTTTGGCCAACATAGTCCTTTTCGCAATTTCTACAACTTAGTCTATATACGAGATTACTTTGCTCATGAGCTTCCAGTTTCTCTTTCGGTTTCGACAGTTTTCCTCAATGTAGTAGTTGGTTTGTGTGCTACGATGATATTACACTGAGAAAGCTTTACGTCTCTTGAACGACACAACGACCTACAAGTGCATTGACACCGATTCAACCTCACAGTTGACGAACAAATTAAACAGAACATTGAAACAATTTCAAGAAAAGAATCAAATCACGAAACAGGAGAGCGAAGGAATGAGAGCCCGGAACTCGAGCGTCGCGCAATTCTATGGACTCCCAAAGGTACACAAAGCTGATGCACCATTACGACCGATCGTGTCACTACCAGGAACACCCACTTACAACTTGGCGAAAGAAATGTGGAGACGCCTCAAACATCTGGCCTGTGGATCGCAATATTCCATTAATAATTCCTAGCAATTTCTATAAAAGCTCAAAGACCTGCGAATAGATGATGATGAAACAATGATCTTTCGACGTGATTGCCCTCTTTACGTCTGTAAACTTACAAATGGCAACAACAGTCATCACAGAACGTCTGAACAGCAGTGAACAACCAATCGGGAACCTAACGACCGAAAACGTATGCAAGCTACTCAAGTTGTGTCTGACAACCTACTTCTCTTTCAACGGGAAGATCTACGAACAGTTGAAAGGCGCGCCAATGGGATCATCTATATCGCGACTCATTGCGGAGATGGTAATGCAGAAATTGGAGGGAGATGTACTCCCACTCATTAATCCGAAACTGTGTGTCCGATATGTTGACGATACTTTTGTGATCATCAAACGCAATCAAGTTACAGTCGCACACCAGCTATTGAACAACGCCATTGAAGACATCCGGTTTACGATGGAAATAGAGAAGGAAAACCAACTGCCTTTCCTGAATGTGTTAGTAACCAGAACCATGGAAGGGAGGCTGCGAACACCAGTTTACAGAAAATGGACATATACGGACCAAATTCGGAATTTTAACAGTAACCACCAGAAATGCCACAAAGTAAGCTGTGCGCGGACACTATTTGGTAGAGTGCAAACACACTGCAGCACTAGGGAGGCAACAAGAAGAGAAGCATCTATTTAAATGTTTCCAACTCAACGGATACCTGCGAAGCTTCCTCCGTACGTGTCAACCCCAACAAACCAAACAGACAATTTACACCAACAACGGAGAAACGCGTTGTTTTCACTCATATGAAAAATGTATCCGAAATGGCAGCAAGACTATTCAAACAACATCACCTCATCGTAGCACACAAACCAACTACTACATTGAGGAAAACTGTCGAAACCGAAAGAGAAACTGGAAGCTCATGAGCAAAGTAATCTGGTATATAGACTAAGTTGTAGAAATTGCGAAAAGGACTATGTTGGCCAAACTGGTAGAAAATTATCAACACGATTACAAGAGCACAAAAGAGCATGCAAAAGGCCCTATGCATCATCGCTAGTCTCAACACACGTGGATGAAAAAGAACACAGCTTTGATTGGGGCAAAACAGAAGTCCTGGAACGTGGTGAAACAAGAAGAGCAAGGGAGTTCCTGGAAGCGTGGTTCTCAACACAAGACTCGATCAACATGCATATCGAAATTGACCCAGTGTACCAACCCCTCCGACGGAGAGAACTTAGAGAAATTATAAGACGCCGTTTGAATAGGAACAACCTGAGCGACGACTTCCGCCACGAGGAAATGGACAGAGATCACGGGACACAGATCGAAGCCGTCACTTTCGAAAAGTCACCTGCACGCCGATCACGGATCGACAATTCAATCAGGGAGATTACATTCCATATCTCGACGCACTGATGATGCCGCCTCGCATGACGGTGAAACGTTTGCAAACAAAATTTCCCAGGTCGGCGAACAAATGTGCAACGGAATTATCAACCCGAGCTAACAGTTTTCCGAAACATTTAAAACCTTCTCCTAACTTGCACACCTCTCTCGTGCTGATTGTGGTAGACTTGCGTAACTTTCTCACATTTTTTAACTGACTTTCGGACATTTTGTACTTATCGCGGATTCGCTTGTAACCAATTTACTCCATATGCTCATTTAGCGAGTATTTATGTCGTCATATACGTTTACTTTATTCGATATCTTTTATTTGATATCGGTGTTTCGAAGGATTGGCTGTTGTTTGACATTCCAGGTGTGGCTGCGCTTGATGTCCATATTGACAAGGTGTCTACCTGTCTATTAACCACTGCCTCATCTATACTGGCTCCAGGAGACAGTTGGTCGTTGCTGGAGGGGACTGGGTGCACGGTCCTTGTAGACGTGTTAGGCTCGAAGAACGGTTCCATGCACTCATTGTGGTGCGGACTACGGTCCAGCCACCGCCTTGTGTGCGCTTGATTCCCCAAATACACTGTGTCTATGTTTGCCTGTGAAGGAGTGTGGGCCGGCTCCGTTGATGAAACGTGGCTCCCATCCACATGCCTCCCGGTCTTATTCCTTCTGGGGTGTGTGGGTGAAGCTGTGGGTGGTCCCTGTGTAGGCGCAGGCGTCCTGTAGCTGACCACAGTGACAGGCAAATCCGAAACCGGATGCCGCCAACCATATATACTCAACACGGCCAATAGTACAATCGGAATAGTGCCACGACGTAGGGGGAAATACGGTGAGCCAACGAATAGTGGGAGTGTATATACATCAGTGTTCATGGGAATAGAGAATCACAACAAGTCCGCCATTGTATGCGATTTCTTGCCATATCCGAAAGCGTTTCCAACTATGCGAGTTCCTGCTCCTTCAACCCCATCCAAGGGTGTCGAGAGCGCCCGTCTACGGCTGACTTTGACGTTAGCTCCTTCATACTCCTGGTCCAAATCATACGTTGACCATCTTGTTTTCGCTTCCAGCCGACTTCTGCGCGCGCGAAGAGGGCGCGGCGAGGAAAACAATGAGTAGGCATTCGAAGAACATGCCCAAGCCACTGAAGTATGCACAGAGAAATTATGCTGTTCATTGGCTGCCGAGGTCTGTATGATACGAAAATTCTCCATCGAACATTTTCATCGCCGTTGTGATGTTCCCATCTTGCCCCGGCCGTGCTCCGAAGGCAATGGTGTTCCAAAACAGATAGCCTGTCAACATCCTTTGCTTGAACAGGCCAAGTCTCGCAGACAGGTGACACGCTTCAGGCATCTACAGTTGTTGTGCAAAATCATGACGCGAATAAGCTCGTGAAAGTTTTGTCAGGGTTGGGTAAATGAACATAGAAGAGATAACGCTTGTTTCCAGTTCGTGGTTTGTTCAGTCAGACTAGGCAGCATACGCAAACACATGTGACCAGCGTGGGAGAATTATTGTTGGAGCGAGTTGATGGCCAACTCAAACTCAAGGCTTGTACCAGAGTCCGCTGTTTGCACAATGTTGGTTTTAGAACGCTGATTGCGATGGATTCTACAATGACAAATAGATGTTTCTTGTGCTACTTTGGTTAGCGTCTAGCAGCGGTATAGACGACTTTAAACTACTCATCCATTTGAACTTGATAGTCAAGTGTTGTAGAATGGAACTGTTGATCTTCTTCTCTGTGAGTTGTCGCAAGGATACAGGACAGTGTTCAGCAATCCTTTTAGACAACTGTCTGGTCGTATGTCCAAGTGCAAGTGAATTGATATAAGATGAAACGTTCGAATTGAACCAGAATTTTGTCCTTTAGCTGCTGAGGCATTGAATGTCTTGTTTCGGTAGCATACGGATATTTTGTTTTGTACAGCAACACTGGCTATGCTACCTCGTGCCTATGTGCACTTGGTTGATTAGCCAGTGTTCCACTGTTCACTGTGGATAACTGCGATGCAGTAACTATGAGCTGCGCAGGATCTTACCAACATTTTCGGCGTATTGGTGAGCAAGTCTGTGCCCCAGTTTTTCTCCATATCGCTCCAATTCAATTTTCGACCATTTGTAACCAACTCCTCATACCACAACGTTAAAGTGAGCCAGTATACTGACGAATAAATGGATCGTTGTTTAGACCATTGGGCCTTAGGCTCGACCTCAAGCCAGAAGACGAGACAGGCCAATTGCGCACGGTTTAGTGGTTGTGCACGGAGATGTGACTACATGAGAGGGAGCGAACATTGATTATTTAACTACCCACAGCTGTTGTGCTGCGTGAAACCACATCTGTTTTACGTTCGATCCTTTTCCCTTTTAGGAATATCCGGTGTATTATGCTGTAATTGAAGAGCCAATCGATCTACGCATGATTGCCCGACGAATACAATCCGGGAGGTATTCCTCTTTAGACGAACTCGAAAAGGACTTTATGCTCATGTCGAGGAATGCAAAGACTTTCAACGAGCCAAAGTCGCTCATATATCAGGTGAGACACCAATGTCCGTTTTCGCTGCCTATATGGTTTGTGTAAGCATATCCCATTCATATTACTTACTGTGTTGGCTATGTTATTAAGGCATGGAGAAATGAGGTTTACTTTTCTATCTAGTGGATGATACCGTGACATTGTACTGAAACAAATTGCATGCTCCCCGCACGTATATTGAACCGATGAGTACGTGGTTTTCTCTAGTTTGAGACTAGGCGGTCTGATTTTTCATTTGCAACTTAATGAGTATTATTTTTCCAATCTGTTAGACGCATCGATGACCCATACAGAGTGGTACAAGAGTTTGACTTGGAATCTCTATGCTCTGGGTTCCAGCCCTTTCCTGTAATGGTTTGGGCGCCCCTGCATGCAACTGCTTATGCTTAAATGATAACGAGATTTTAACACAGAGTAGTATTGTGTTACTGCTACTGATGCTACTATCCAGAGCGTCAACTGGTATTGATTGCTTCTCTACGATGCAAGCGCTGCAGTGCGGCGCTTTGTGACCGATTTACATACGATGACAGTAGTTTATGGTGTCTACAGTATGTCTACGACGTTCCACTATTCGTTCATGTTGATTCCTCCGTTTGACATGCTATGCACATCTTCGAAAATTGCGTTGCCTTCTTCAATGGGGAGGTGTTGATTAATTGTCAACGGGGGCCGCGCCACTGGCTGTAACGGAGCTGTGAGCACACGCATCAATAAATTTTACTTCTTTGTCTTAGCCGTTGGAAGCGAGCACTGCTTATCCATTAACGTCCTTGTTATCCAGAATTACCCCTCCAGCATGCATAGTGGAGTCCGCGTACACAGTGGTATAGAGGCACACTATCACGGCTCAGGCTTAATCACCGCGCAACCGGTTGGGAGATGCGTGTGCAGCCAAGCGATATCCGGCTCGTTCTAATACTCCGTGGTTCAGCTCGATTTGTTCTCATTGTCTGGACTTCACCCTCACCGAATATCCGTCTATGCATTGAAATTGCATTGTGTTGAACCAAACCAGGGTATTCAAAACGGTGTCTTGCTTGAGCAGCTGGAGAAAAACCAGATCACTGGACTAATTATGCCACATCCATCCATAGTTCGACACTGTGGCTGTTCGTGCTTGTTGTACTGTGTGCGATAATCCCCAGGTCCTTTCTCAGCAAATTGTAAGCCTAACTTGAATCGGCTGCATATCCTGAACCCATTTTCACTGGGTCCATCCGTTTGCTTATAGCTCTGGTGAATCATGCACCTAAACCACTACGTACATCAGCTAGCCTATATGAGGATGTCTTGGTTAAGTGTACCAATTTCGTCCTCTCCATAATTCCCCCGCTTCACTTGGCCTGAGTTGTGTTTCCCGCTGGTTGTTTTCAAGGCCAGCAGATGACCTAGCTGTCAGGGGTTCGGTTTTACGAACTTTTTGCGGCGCACAGTTGTGTGATGTCCATCTTGCGGGTGCTGGCGCTGGCGCTGCAGCTGTCCCGTCATTCTGAGGTTAACATTTGGGTGACATCCTTTAATCATGTTTTATTGTGCTAGATCTGGCTACAGTCTGTGTTTACGTTGACATGACACCCACCCTCCTGTTATCGTCACCCAGATTGCCGGCTACTAGTGATTGCTAGTCGGTGCTGGGCTACGACCTAACTTCCACTTCTTATGCATCTGGCACGCATATTTTCCGCATTTTATGTCAATGATGTGCATGCTTAAGGAGCGTAAATTAACTCCAATTCACATGCTCCCCCTGGGTTTGCACTAGATATGAAGTGTGTGACTGGGACTGTAGGCGATGCAAAGCGATGGCAGTCGGCATCAACATTGATGCACAAATCTGGGATTGTATGTCACGCACAATTAAACCATGCAGACTAGACGGTGGCTCTTTTCTCCTGCATAACTTCAGTTTGTTTTATGCCGTGTTTCCGTTTACTTGATCGTCACCATTTCAGGTCTGAAAAATGCACTAGCCTGTTTTTGGACACGTTGGCATGGTGCAAGGACTTTTCATCAATTGTGCTGCAGTGCAACGCATGCAAATGTTGGTTCACAGAGGGTCAACTGTTCGATAAAGTACTGACAGAACCCTGACGTATGGCGAACTTTTACGAACAGTTTACAGCTCGGTGGCTTAAGAATAGTAGTTTCGGTCAACATTCCAGCGGTATCAAAAAAAGCGTCAGCAGCACGCCGGTACGTAGGACCGACGCTTCGCTGCCGCGCGAACACCACCAGTCGCAAGTGGGCTAAGGATACTGCGGGGGTCGCCCGGTCCCTACACAGACTTAAACCCGCGCACTCAGATTACAAGCCAGGCTTGCAAGGCTACGCGCTCGCCATCCGAGAGGCCTCGGGTTCTAGTGCCTGTTATTGCTACCTGATAAAAGTAAATAAGTTCGTAACCGATCACGAATTGCAGTGTTTTCGAGTGCGTAACACCCATTCTTCACCTGTTTCATCAGTTACGGTCCCAGTAATTGGATTGATCAAGATCGCGCGTCCCAATCCAATCACAGAACGAGTACTTCAAGAATGACCCACCAATCAGTTTACAGCTGTCTCGTCATGTACGCTATGTGCTTAGCGTCAATAGGAAATTGAAGCCTACTGGAATTAGGGCATTTGACACTCAATCAGTCAGTCGCTCCTATCCCTCTGTTTGGATTACAACATGCAATCTGTTTGAACCGCGCTGCTTCGAAGCTATTTTCGGTTATTCCGACCACTGGAAAACACCTCCGAAGTGAAGGGTTTCCGATGTTACTTACTCTCAGCTCCCTCTATCTCTGCTCGAATAGTCCAGTGCAGTGTTGGGGGCGAACAACACCGGACTTTTCTTGTCTTCCGTTGTTTTGGCGACGCGAATCAAGTCATTTGTACCTGTCTGATTTTGATACCTAACCTGTGAATGGCCGGTTGAGCCTAGTTAGACGTTGTCAGTGGGCAAGATTTCTCCATTTTGCTGCAGGTTCCAGCAACTGCAACTGGCGTATGCCTCGTCAGACGTACTTTGTCGGAGCTGCTCTCAAAGTCTATTTCCCCAGAACTTACTGCTTATTTAGCCGGAGTGATAACCTCACCAATTCTAAGAGATCTTACGATTTGAATGCAGCATGCACAACTGAAAATGTCAGCATGTCAATGTTATTCCTCACAGTCCACCCTACGAGTCCATGGGCATCGGCGGGTGGCCGAGTGATATGTGCGTCCGGTTTGCAACCATAAGGTCACCGGTTCGAATCCGCGTAGGGGCGGGCGTCCTCGCGGTATACTCAGGCCACGCGCGACTGGTGGTGATCGCGTGGCAGCGAATCACCGTTACGCCGTACAGCTGGCGATTTACTTTCTGAAATTCACAAGAGTAAAAGCTTTGGCTGCCAAATAGTAACTGTACTTTCTTTGATCTATTTTCCGAAATTGTCCGTAGGTTATTACCATTTGCGTCATTTGCCAATCATTGCATCGAGCGGAGACTGCAGCACGCGTGAGTACCATTGTGAAGTGGGCTTCGTATTGCTCAAGCCTCCCTATGCAGACGGTGCACTTCACTGCGTGAAATCATCGTTTTTTCCATTTGTCCCTTGGTGTAAATTGTGACTACTAGGAGTTGTTTCGGCTTCTATTCGAAATTAAGGTTCGGATTCCTATGCGTAATTTATTGTCACCGAAATCGTCCCATACTTATTCTTTGTCCTTGTTTTCTGCAGGATGCGACAACTCTTGCCAGAATCCTCAAGGGCAAACGCAGCGAAGCGGAACACCCACCTTTACGAACGAACAAGGAACGCGGCAAGTGAGGCTCGTTTCGCATGTCCACCTTTTCATTCGTTTTTACTACAGTACCATTTTGTTCGGCTTATTATTCTCCTTTTCATGAGTATCTTACCCCCTTCACTATTTGATTCGCTGACCACTGTTTCAGCTTCTCAGTTTAGAAAGTTATCAGAGCGGCTGATAGTATCTAGACCTTCCTGGAATGGTGCGCACTTTACTTCTGGGTTTTTATGCCACGGGGCACTATAACTGCATGTTCTTCTGTTGGTATGCTCAATGAATTTCGCTTCACCCATTTTGCACTGCATCGAAACTTATTCTCTTACGCTTCCAGACGTGCCTCTCGGTTAAACTACGACCCGCATGAAGTCGTGATGCACTATGCCACTTTGACAGAAGGACCCTCTGCTTACCAACTTATCAAGCAAAATGAATCGGAAGCTGATCTCGGTAGTTCGGTGGCAGGCGAGGAAGATGACACTCGCGCCACCGGGAACACTTCTCAGAGCTGTTCGTCCGTCTCGTCCTCACCTGGGAAACGCAAGCGTGGTCGTCCACCTAAGCATCACCCACAGCCGACGATGACAACCAGTCAAGACGGTTCTCGCGAGTCGATACCGGTAGAGAGCAGCTCACCATTGATCACAGCAGCGGTAGGCACCTCACCGACTTCGGCTCCTGCTGATGTCCGACAATCCTTCGGTGATGCTTCAAGCGTCGGTTCAAATTCCGTCTCTGGTAACTCCTCTAGCGTTTCTCGCTATCGTGTGGGCACTGTCCGTTGGCGTGTGTCCCAAGTGCTTCAAGCTGTGCTGGATGCTCGCAATGAATCGGGCCATCTGTTGTGCACACCGTTCATGCGGTTGCCTTCACGGAAGTATGTCTAGAAATTGTTACTCATCCCTCTGTTCCATAGAATTTATCCAGACTACTATCAAGAAATTGCCAACCCAATGAGTTTGGCAGACATAAAGAAAAAGTTAAAGGTACGCGTGTTTTACGGAACAATTTTTGACATCGTTGTTTTTCAGTTAAACAGCTATACATCCTTGAATTCTCTCATGAATGATTTGGACTTGGTGTTCAAAAACGCTCAACAATACAACGTCGAAGAGAGCGCCATCTACCGGGATTCATTGATACTACAACAAATAATGCGTCAACGGTACCAGGAGATGCTTGCGTATGATGCTTTTGTGAGTATCGATCGACTCTGCTTTTTTGTTGCTATTGTTGTTGTTGCTGCTTCAGCGACCATTCATGAATGCTTCTATTTTAAAACCTTTCTTTCTTTCCCTTGGAAACCTGTGATATTTACTCATCGTTGGAGATTACTCACTTATTCTGCTTTGTTACCCGCATTCACTATAGTCCAATGGTCGTCATGTTCTCGCGCCAGTCAACCCAGTACGTGACTCAACCATTCATCACGCAGCCCAACTTTCTATTAGTACTTTATTACCACACAAATATGAGATAAGGGATACGTCTCTATTTCAATGGGATAAGCAACGGGGTAATAGGAGCCGGATACAGGATCCGACAGCGTTACACAAACCTGCACTGTCAAAGCTCCCACACAGACTGCGACTCATCGCAAAACGCTGAGATAATATGAAGTAGACTAGCCATTGTTCTTCCTTCTATACTCCGCAGGAGACCGAGATAAGCTGAACGTTGGTTACGTCGGGTCTCAACTCTGTGAAGGCTAATTTCGACTTGACAAGCGATGGTCATGCCCCTTGGCTTCTCAAACGAGTGTTTGTCATCTCCGAGTGTACATTGGCATTTTGTCATCAGTGTTTTTCCCATGTACGTACCATCGGCAGTCACAGCAGTGAACTGAGCACTGGGTACTTCCACCTACATGGGCACAATTCGCCCAGCTACAAGATTCAGCACGTACCTCTCCCCGGAACATTTCCTCTATCATCCTAATCGAGGTCAACTCAGGATTCGATGGTTTTATCATGAAGGACTTTTCATCGAACTGACAACAAACAGCTACTCGATCCGAGATCTCTTACTACAGCTCTGCTATATACGCACGTAGTTGTGTGTTGCGTAGTACCAGCGGCACCCCTACTGTACAGAGTGCTACGAGTTAGCGTTATTCCTCTCCACCTCTGCTAATCGGTCTCAAGCTAAGCCCTAAGCCTTCCTTACTGGGACATTTATCTTGTTGTGACCTTCACAAAAAGGGTTCCACCTGAATTTGTTTGCAAACCAGTTACGTCGGCTTTTTCTGGCTATCAACTTGCTAGAACACAAGGTCTTCGTTGGATTCTTCAATCGCCATCTTTGATGGATCAGTGCCATTCCTCCTGTCTACACACGTCGATAACGGTGCCAAAATATCATCCGTTGAGCTACTTCCACTTGTTCCTTTAATGGCCGTGCCGCCTCTACTTCACCTTTTTAATACAGACTGTCGCGTACTTGTCATCGTGCTGTTGGGTGGTTAGTAGCATCTACATTTTTCATTGAAGTAGGCCTTGTAGAATCGTGATCAGTTTTTCATATTTTACCACACCTCGTGTTCCTTTTATTGGAACAAATTTAGTTCTTCCTCCGTTCTACTCTAGACTTGGCATTTTCACCCATTTTCACTGTTTTTCCCTCTGCAGTCCTCAAAGCGTATCCATTCCCCAGCTCTGAGCACTGCTATCGTAACGACAGCATCTACATCGGATCCTTCCATTGGCTCTTTCGCCCATCATGATGCAACGCCACAGAAGCGTCCTGGGAAAAGACTTATGACCGCTGAGGAAGCGAAAACAAAACGACTTCACAACCTATTCAATACCGTGATAAATTACGTTGCTGTGGGTCCGCCTTTAGTACACCATTCATGCAGTGTTTATTTTTAAAATTACCTCTTGTCTCATATTCCGTTGATCATGCCTGTTTGTTGTACCATTTTCCCTTGGAGTGCGCCAACAAGGCTCCCTTCTTTTGTAAAATCCCTTCCACAACTCCTTAGATCAGGCAAGGAATTACGGAGAGCTATCTCTTGAGCTCCACACTAGGGTTATTCACAACCTTTCCAACTTTGTGAATCAGTGATGTCGGCACTGTCACTCGTCAAGTGAGTAGATTAGGAGGATAATTCAAGCGCTAATCTCTGCCCAATGGGTTAATAAGTTTAGAGGAATATCAAACACCAAACGAAACTATTATTCAGGATGAACGAGCTCTTTACTGTTTTTGAGACCGGGAGCGACCAGGGGCGTACAAGTATCGGAATAACCCCTTGTTGGACGGATGTGTTCTGTACGGCACTTACACATTTTACCTCAGCTGATAATTTAAAAAGCGATGTACCAAGTTAAAAGCTGCCAGTGGCAAGTCCTTTGTGTCCGGTGTTCGGCACCGTTATCATCCCCCTCCAATAGTTGCGCTCATGCAAGCTGGAGGTGCAATGAAGTCCATGCGGCCGGTGAGTGCTTATTTTTGAACACAAAGCACTTACTTCACCCGGATTTGACAGTAGTATCGGTGGACTAATAGAATCGGCGTCATTATTTTAGACACCAAACTAATCTCTATCCAGCCGTTGCTTCATTCCCCTGATTTCACACCATTGCGATACAACAAGCTATCATACTAGATGAATTTATTCACACACACTTGTCCATCGGACAGTCTGAAGCGAGCTACCAACATGCAACTAGCGAGTAGCCGCTACAAACCATCGGAGTCGAAACATTTTGCGCGCATCGTGCCCAAAAGGAAATTAGTCGAGTTTTTTTTATAATGGTGATCTTACCGTCGGGGCGTGTTGTCTCTATTGCAAAAACTCACTTCATTGTGAACACCAACGTCATTCACCAAATATGTGTTGCTAGTCTTTATCACCTCATCACTAGTAAGATATCAGCCTACCCAAATATTTGGGTGCTGGTATATTGTTCAGTAACCGAAAAGACCGTTTTTACTGTTCATAGGCTTAATCCCTAATGAGAACAGCGGGACTGTATTACTTTAAACCAGGGGTGTCCAAACTCCGGCCCGCGGGCTAAATGCGTTAATATTTCAACTGACCCGCGGCCTCTTCATTAAATACTAAATTCAGGCGTGGACTTTTTTCGTACATGGGTACTTTTTGTTATTATCTTCATATCGGGCTGAATATCGCCCGACATATTTTTACTTCACAAAATGTGGTCCTACTTGCAAAAAGTTTGGACACTTGACTGAACCACGGGGAATGCTGATCTTCAGCAATCCAAAGATTCCCATTTATTAGAATGAATCAAGGGAGGCAGAATCTGAGTAAAGAATTCTTTTCGGTAATTCTCATCGGACTCAAACATTACATGATGACGACAAAGTGTTAAATGTGCCGGATTGGGCTGCGTATTCTGATCAATACGCAGCCCAATCCGGCACATTTAACACTTTGTCGTCATCAAGTAATGTTTGAGTCCGATGAGAATTACCGAAAAGAATTCTTTACTCAGATTCTACCTCCCTTGATTCATTCTAATAAGTTTGGACACCCCTGCTTTAAACAGGAATATTACTTATCGCCTCACCTTGACCATTGCCAACTGTTGATCGACTTACGCACCCAATGGGTCAACCGTCCATTTGATGCGAATCCTTCATGTTTCCAGCACAATCACAATTCAGTGAACTTTTTTTTGACCCTCAGCCTGCCGAGCGCATTACAAGATTTGTAGCCACTGGTCAGTCAGTCAGCTAGTTAGTCAGTAGTCTGCCGATCAGCCATTGCACTGCTGTTTCGTCCTCTTTGGAACTCATCAACATTTGTCTGGGGACGATCGAGGCCCGTCTCTTGGATGCGTGAAACAGCGCGCCGGTCACCTACACCAAATTGCTGACAAACCCAATGTGATCTGCTAGTCTTGACCGAGTCTTTATATCTCTGCGGTAACTGTCTCGCATTTAAAAAGCTGATAGTTGTATACGAACTGGCACTACTAGTGACGTGCTAGCTGACTTGACTCTTCCCTCACAGCGGTCGTGTTGCCGCGTATCATTATTGCGAATTTTTCCGCGCTCTAGGTGTATAATGCTCTCTATCATTTCGTACTTACAAAATCCTTCCATATAATATGACTTCTATTTTTCCGCACCTGTTCCTGCGCTTTTAGGAGGATGGTCATCGTCCACACGAAGTGTTTATGCATCTACCCTCTAAAGTAGATTATCCGGAGTACTACAAAGTTATTCCCGAACCCATTGACCTCACCATAATTCGACGCAAGATGGAGCAGAACGAAGTAAGCGATACATTCACGGTCGCATTTTCTTACGTGTCATTCACTTTATACTTCTGCGAACCATTTCCTTCCCCCTTTACTTATTTTTGTGCTCGGTGTCACAACTAAATACTCCTTCTGACGCATCAAATTGCCTTCATCACGCATTATTTTTTTCTGGGTCTCAACATTCACAGCGCGGCACAAAATAATCTCGGTTTGTTTACCTCGGACCTACTAATCGAATCCACCAGGATTCAGCCGTTCAGATTAGACAGGAGTAGATGCTTTGGTTGCCTACCAAACGTCCCGGACTCGGGTGGCAGTGTTGCCATCTTTAGCCGATGAACGCCAAAGCGTGCGGTACCGACCATGGAGTGCAGTTTTGTGAGCTGGCAATGCTCACTATTTATATGTTCCAGTTACCGTCCCAGTTACTGAATTGATTGCGATTCACTTCATTGTAAATCTTGGTCTAGCTCGATTTTGGATGTCGTAATCCACTCACACCACAAGTTACTGAAACACGACAACTGAACGCTGAATTGCCGTTGAGGCCAATCAGTGCATAGAAAACGCTCCATTACACGGGCCAACAAGAAGAGGACAACTTCATATGCAGCTATTAGATGCTTTGAGATGGCGTTTACATCGTGGAACTACTGTTATCTGCGCCGAAAAATGATTACTCCTTGATATCCATCAGAATACGAAGTGATGCGTTAGGACAGATATCAAGGAAGGCGCACGGTGCATTAGAAAGTTAGTCAGAAACTGTCGGATAAGGTATATCTGAATTTACTCTTCCTGGAACGCATGAAAATGTCTTGATCAGTCTTTTTCTATGGTCACCGGCTGAACAGATCTCATCCTCCCCCTCCCTAAGCCTTCCATCCAAGAGGTTTTGGTTACTCATGGTTGCTAAATGGCATCCATTGTTTCAGTTCAACGTCCATGAATTCGCGGTATTTAGCCACTGTGAAACTCGGTATTAACGCTGATCGGTTAACTGATGCACCTCCTTCACACAGAAGTACATCAATGATATTCCTCCTAGGTTTGAATCTGGTGGCCGAAAGGAGTACACCCTGCCCTGTATTCCGGAACTCACAGGTTCGAATCCGCGTGTGGGCGACCTCGCGGTATATTCAGCCCACGCACTACCGGTTTTGGTCGCGTGGCAGCTAAGCGTCGTTATGGTGTGCCGGCGCACTGCTGATGTTTTTCTTTTGAATCTGGTTAGTAACCAGACAATTACTTTTTCTCCAGACTGCGGGTCCCACTTGCAGCGAAGTCGTGTCACTGCAAAAAGGGCCACTCGTTCAGCCGCATGTGACTGGGTTGTTCAAGCATCTAGCTTCTGGTACAGACGCTTCGGATCGGATCTCTCTTACGTGTGCGCTACCTCGTAGTATTCCTAACCCGCACGCGATTATTGGTGGTCATATGACATCGATGCGTCGATAAAGGGTACCGGTGTATTGTTGATGTCTCGATATGAGGCTCTCACGCCTACGTGTTCCAATCTCTATTCCATCTACGTTTACTCGCTCAGCAGTATTCGTGGTTACGCCTGACAAGGACGTGCGTTACGTCACGTTGACAACCCGCTTATCTTGTTTTTCAGCCGGCGCGAATGATCATGGAAGTAAAACCGTTCCACCGATGTTATTCCTCTACATCCCATCCGAGCGTCTGCTTGAGTCTGTCCTCCTTATCCTCCACCCATTTTAAAGAGTTGGTCAGTGATCGAAAGGACTACACGCTTATCTTGTACTCCGGATATTACCGATACGAATCCGCGTGGACGTGGGCTATCTTGCGGAATACCCAGCCCACGTGCGACTGGTTGTTGTCGCGTAGCAGCGAAGCGTCATTACATTGTGCCGGCCTACTTCATTACTCGCCTGATCTAAGCATGGCATCAGCAGCAGCTGAGGTTGACTAAACTGCAATCAACGTTTGCAGGGCATTTTTGAAGCCGCATTGGTATAGTCAATTGGCTAGACGGCGACGCGAATTGTAGAGTAAATTCCTCGTCTCTGACTCTGCCGACGATTATGAGGCTTACAAAAGACAGCGGGATCTATGCAACAGCGTAAATGCGCGAAAGCGTCTGCAGTTCGAAGAGGAGATTGCAGCCTCAGCGAAGACGACCCCCAAGAGGATTTTTGCCTACGTGAAGCGGTGCCTGAGGCTCGCAATTGACGTAGCTGTGTTAGGGCGTACTGACGGACAGCCTCTGGCCTCCAGCACTGAACGTGCATTCGAATTGGTGGAGCACTTCGCTTCTGCGTTTACAAGTAAGCATGCGCCTGTGCCGAACTCGACGTGTGCAACCCCTACAGAACTCGAGGGCATGGATTGCGGTGTAGATGTCCGCAGTCTACTCGCCAGTCTTGATGGCACAACCTACCAGACCCGATGGACTTCACCCGCTAATTTTGAAGTCCTCATCGGCCATCATCTCGCCTGCCGGGACGGATCTGTTCAACAGATCACTGTCCGAGAGTGCATTGCCGTGCGACTGGAAACACTCGGTAGTGAAGCCGATTCCAATAGGTGATGATCCACGCAATGTGGACAATTACCGGCCGATTTGTCTCACCTCTGTTTTGGCGAAGTTACTCGAGAAAATTGTAAAAAGGGGTCATCTTTAACTGCTGGAGTCGAAAGATCTAGCGCCGAGACAGCACGGCTTCAAGAAGGGCCGCTGGTGCATCACCAACCTGCTGTTGACGCGACAGGAGTGGTTTCAAGCGTTGAACCGGGGAGGTCACTGGATCTTATCTACATTCATTTCAGTAAAGCTTCAGATTAAGTGAACCATGAGGTCCTGCTCTGCAAGCTGAGGATGTGTGGTGTTGGTTGCGCACTGCACCAGTGGATCAGTGACTTCCTTATTGAGAGAAGATGGCGGGTTCAGGTGGATGACCACCTAACGGAACGGTATCCGTCCACTAGCGGCGTACCTAAAGGCATAGCACTGGGGCCCATTTACTTCTTGATCCACATCAACGAAGTACCTCAGCTACTTCGGTCGCCCTGTGCATTGTTTCAGACGACCTGAAGATTTGGAGGATTATTGATTCTCCCGGCGACTATGACGTCTTTCAGCAGAACCTCGACCGCCTATCTCGGTGGTCTGCAGAAGTTGACCTAGCGGCTAACACAATTAAGTCCTCGTTTATGAGCTTGGGGAGGGGTGGTAATGGGCGTGCGTACACCCTGGTCAGCCACCCGCTACATCCCACCAGTTCTGTAAAGTATCTAGACGTACTCACGCTGTGATCTGAAGTCTGTCGATAATATGAACAGACTGTACGCAAACGGACTACGCCTGCTTTGGGCACTTAGACGCAGCTTCTGCACTTAGTCTGAAGTGATTGCCACCCGTCTGTTCTTATCCATGCTAAGACCGGTGCTTGAGTACGGCTCGCCCGCCTATTGTCCGATCACAATAGGTGAGGTGCAGAGACTGAAACGGGTCCAGCATGTAGCTGCCCGTCTCATCCCCAGTTTGCGGGGTATGTCGTAGCTAGCACTGATGTAAGAGACTAGGGCATTATACCCTGTCATATCGTCGACTTCGAGTTGATCTCATAATGACGCACCGGATACTGTACCTGCGCCAATTCCCTATGTTGAGGCCGCTGCTGCACGTTCGCGCACCGAGCAGCACAGGCGGACACCGGTACAAACTAGTGGTACCGGATTTACAGCGCATCGCTCACCCTCCATGCTTCGAGCGTCCAGTGGTGAAACATTGGAACAAGTTGCCGGAGACGCTAGTCGAGACGAAATCGGTGTCGGAATTTAAAAGATTCCTAGCTGCTTACTTTGCGGACTACAGGTATAGGGAGCGTATCACACCCGGATAAGATGTAGTGCAGCTGCAATATGCTGCCACCTCACAGGAATCAGCGACGTGATTCCGCGTCTGTGCTCGATCCACCTACGAAGGAACAGCACAGCTCATTGTCCTCGGTAACCAGTATTCAGTATTCATTGTTAACTTTTGTATAGTCACCGACGTAATACGAAGCAGATTTTAATTCTTGGCAAAGTGCTTCACCAGCCATTTTCCGACGAAGATACCGCACAACACCCGTTTTTTAATTATTGTACTTGATCATTTGTAACTGTATTTACCGTTACGAATAATGAATGTATCACCAGTACACTGATTCAGTTCCGTTCATTTGACCAACCGTGATCCCGAGCACTGAAATGCGGTTGGCCCAGTTGCCAGGACTCACGTCACCAGAATAAGCATAACTAGCAACTTTAGGAAAAGGAGGTTGAACGCAATTAGAACACAAAGAAAATGGAATCAACAGGCGTTCAAAACTAAACGGTACTTTCTTTTTCAATAAACAGTGCAGCAGAGAGTTGAGAGGGAGGAGCAAGAAAAGTAGAGAGAGTATTGTTGACGGAGTCGAGAGGGCAATGATACTCTCCGACTAACTATTCTGAGAGAGGGGTTTTGTTCGAGGTATCCTGCCTCTGTCCTTTGCCTCAGCAGTCTAACACAGAAGGCAGTAGGGATTTAGAGGTTCACTTGAGGGACTCCACCCGGAGCCTTTGGTTCAATAATCTAATCCACCAGACGGTGAGGTACAGTTCGGGAAAGGGATTACCGAGACCCATTTGGATCTGCTTGAGGCCGGCCGCACACAGCCTTTGTAGATTTAGAACAATGCACACGTGCTGTACGACCGTATTACGTTGCGCACCTGCGACCACGGCCACTAGCGGTTTGGAGTTGACAGGTTTGCACCAATTTGACCAAATTCTGCCTGGCCTGAGGCGGGCAGTAGCAAAGCACTGAACACCGAATGGTGCCCTCCGACCGTCAAAGACAATACGTGGCGCTTGTGCTCTACGCCAATCGAGCTGTGAACTTATAACCCGTAAACCTATTGTCTCCCATGGCTAAGTTTTGGAGAGAAAAGGATCTTCGACCTCTAACCTTCAGAGAGGATTGTGTTGCTGAGTTAGTCTGACCCCCAACAATTGACCTGTCTGGCATGGGTGACTCTGAAAGTACTTGGAAACTGTCACCCAGTGTATCTCAATGTGTCACGTAGGTACGCGAATCATCGCACCACGTTTAGGTCCGGTCTAGTCGTGATGTCCAGTAAACCGGTACCTCGTACCGACACATTACCGCGCGACAACCACTGCTGAGTACATGTGGACTGGGATACTGCCGCGCAGGATGGAGCCGCCGACACTCAGCCACGGACGGACATTATGGATGCTAGTGATTTCCTTAAATTATGTATTCTTACGGTTGGCTTATTTTGCGTGTTGCCTTTGTCGCCTTGCCTAATTGTGGCTCTCGATTTTTCCATCATTAGCCCAGCCCTATAGTTTGGCATTATTCGCCCAACTTATTAACCCCGTTACCCTTCATTGTATATTCCAGTACAGGGCACATCAAGAAATGGTCGCTGATTTGCGTCTCATGTTCAACAATGCTCGCCACTTCAACGAAGAAGGCTCACAGGTATACAACGATGCTGATATGCTTGATCGCGCCGTTAAGAGGCGCTTGAAGAGTCTCGGACCTTACCAAGGTAACTGGAATATAACTAACATTTGCTGTGCAGCTCGTACAGATCGCAATTCAGGTACTCCAGAGACCCATCCTCAGTAAGTCACTGTGCGCTTCCTGATTGCTGGACTGTTCTGCGGTCAGCATGCGGCGGCTTTTCACTCACCTGTTATGCTGACTATTGATTTTCGGTGGTGCTTTGTAGCTCCGTGCATGATTTCCCTTCTTCTTGCACGGTGCGTAGCCACATTTCCCAAACCGAGCCATCTTCAGCACGGAATCGAGCTTGTGAGGTGTACCGCTTTTGCGACTCAACTCCACGAATTTGTTGAGCTTTTCAAGTCTGTTTGTCCACCATTCCTGCGTTTCATTCCGTCGGCCAACGACTTCTTTCATTTTTATGTACAAACCATCACATGATCATTGTTCGGAACTTTTCCCTTTGCTCTACATCCGCTAATTTACTGCTTTGCTCTCCACTGCTCTACACGTTATTACCGTTCAAAGTAGCTACCCTAGCAACGGTCTTCCGAACTTTTACCGCTAATTGTTTTATGGCACTTTAAACGGTTCGGATCAATTACTGTTTGTGAGGGAGTATTAGGAGTAACTTGAATAGTCTAGATGGAACTCTCAATTGGTCCGCGGATCTAAGCACTACTGACCAGTCCCAGGAGAACAGAACGACTGCCCATCGCTTTCCCGGTTAACTTTGCTTTTCCGACTGCATCTACCTATGCCGAGTTCCATTTGGACCTTTTAATCCCGCCTTACTACTCTTTTATGAAGGCCTTCTTTGAAACCATCTTGCTGGAATCTATTCCAGCCTCATTGTGGACCAGTTCTGATACGGAAGCTGAGTTTATCAGCTCACCTTGACCCAATCTATAGGCGAACGGATAATCCGATATCTGGCACTTTTACTTCGAAACAGCAATTAATCCGAACTAACACAATAAGATCTCTTTTTACTCAGGACCGCACTGATGACGTTGCCATGCTCGTTTCGAACTATCATCAAGATAACCGGCTAACCTCGACCATTAACTCACCCCGGGCGTTTGTCGATGTTTTTCTACGACATTCATCTACTTACCGTTCCATTATCCTCCCGTTCACATTTTATCTGTACTAGACAAGTGGTTGGGACTACCGGTGACATGTATCGCACCCCTGCCAATGTAGTCGCACCTCCGAATGCGAGTCCGTCCGGGATGCAGACACACTTGCAATCCTCGCCTGCGATTCCATTGCTTCAGCGTGTCATCCTGGAGTTGTTCCAGACAGTTCGCGAGTATCAAGTTAACGGACGCCAGCTTTCCGCATGTTTCATGCGCTTGCCTACTCGATCGGAGATGCCTGCGTACTATGAGTTCATCAAAAAACCAATGGAGTTGCAGACGATCGCCAAACAAGTAGTACAGATGCGTTACACCGATTTCGAGGAATTTGTCTCCGATTTGTCTCTTATGTTCGACAACGCGTGTCGATTTAACGAACCGAATTCCCAAATCTACACGGTTAGTTTCACTTCGCTTGATTACATCCTTCTTCAACCACTGTATCTCCTGAGCGCTCGTTCTTTCAAGGCGTTCATTTTTATCTCCACTCATCTAGGACGCTCTCACTCTTCACCGAGTTTCTCTGGCGAAGCGAGCCATGATTTTGAACACTTTCGCCGGCCACTTGGGCATCCCACCTTGCATCCCACCCGATTTCCCAACCGGGGTTCGCCGACTGCTCACTAATCTTCATAATGCCATGCTCACCGCCTGTGATGCGGATGGACGTGGCCTGGTGGATTCCCTTATCGCTGGCGACGGAACCGAGGCGACATTGACTTCGGTAACCGCTGCGCGTCTGGCCGCATTGCATCGGGCTGTCGCTGCCGGCGCCTATCGTCGGCTTGATCGTCTGCAGTCGGATTGGCTGAAAATTCTCAAGCGCGCCCGCATCGGGGAAGGAGCGGATCAGCCTGCGAACGCTCGAAACCCACTACCGACCCTTCAACAACGTCTCGACGCTGCCGATTTGGCTCGACGTTGGGTGCGATTGAGGGACGACTTGTGTCGCAGGCAGCAGCGTCGACCATCCACCTTTCCTCTTGTCTCATCACCGCAGGGCACTAATGTCTCTGATTCTGGTGGCGCCTTACCCACACATCTAGCCTTGCTCAGCCCGGCGATGGTATACACATCAGCTGCTTTAGATCGCGAACTGTCTGAGGAGGAAGCCGAACACAAGCTGCTTTTGCACACCGACCAACACGGTGAGGGAATCCCACCACCCCTGGGAAGCGACGAAACAGTGCTAGCAGTAAGTTTTCAATCAACTGTCGCTTCTTGCATTCCTATTGGCCAGTTCTCTTTTTGCCATCTAAATATTCCTCTGGTTTTCAAGCAATTCACTCCACTATCGTTTTCATCCTTGACGATGGCACGATAGGTCGACATTTCGATCGTATAATCTGCATTTAACTATTTTGCGTATTCTCTTCAGGCGGATGACCAAATATGGCGTATCGGAGCAAATCGGCTAGGTGACACGCGTTCACAACGGATGAGGCTAAATCACAAACATTCAGGGGAAGACGATCCCTCTATAAGAACTAATGTCTGACCTGTAAATACGATGGTTATATAACGCTGAATATACACTGGCAGCATAGTGTTGACTTTTGGTAGGTCCGTTTTATTTAAGCGCCAGGCATAATAACAATGCAACAGAAAGGTCTCAAATCCGACAAAGTGCGGAAGACATAGACTATAACCTGAAAATCGATGCTCATAAACAAAGTCCAGTTTATCTGTCCATGATTTCACTTACCTCGTGTTTGCGTATTTCACTGTACTCGTGAGAGCAAGTAAAGTTGGTCGATTTCAGAGCACGCTCCACCTGATATGATCGCGAATAGTCCCAACCGGCAGGGGAGCTTTATTGCCCGTCATATCCTGGACTGTTCTGCATGCCAAAATCCTCGCGAACCGTTCAGACACAGGCCCATCCGCACTGTCGATGCCATATTTGCCACCTGCTTGCAATCCCAACCTGGTCAAGGATGCCGGGTTTCGTTACTTTATCCCGTGACCTTCACACACCCGTCTGTGTTATTTGCTTGGGACCGCGACGTAACACCGTGTGCAAGTATTCACTCTGATTGCTTGCCTAACATTTTCATGATACAGCTCACGACTTGCACTAGTTGGACCACCTGTTTACTCTTCGTAGGATACTGAGTCATCTTTGGATTAGCATTGGTTACGAACTGAGGACGTTGGAAGTCCCATGCCACAGACAGCTGTTTGTAATCAGAAAGTTTTACCTGTGGTGTTTAGGTTCCATAAATAGTCGCTCCCCTTCTTCTTGTACTCTTCACTAGTGTGATCTTTGTGGATACATGCGAGCGAAACCCAACTACTGATAATGGGATAAACGAGCCACACCTCATATAATCCCAACCCCGCATTTTCGTTCTCGTATTCCCGGTTGCTAACATTCCTTGGATTCCAGACCGCTGACACAATCCACTCAGCTATTGCTCAACACTTCCCACCAATCTATCGGCTTAACTTTTGGTTTGCCATTCGAGAAGATATGCGAAAGCTTTGTAGAAGTCGCTCTTTTGCGCTACTTGGTTAATTTGTGGTGTGCTCGTTTCGAAAACGCGCCCCATCCATGTCCTCAGGGCTTCATTTCAGTGTCTGTGGTTCATCAATTGAACATGGTAACACTGATTGGAGTACTCTACTTCGAAGTACTTGTTGTGTGATCGGATTGCGACGCGCAATTACAATGCTGACCGTGATTCACATCAAAGTGAACCTTGGTGAATTCGATCAATAGGATTGTAGCTGTAGCAGTGGAAATTGGGTGTTACCCGCCCGAGCATATGGCACTCCACTGAGTACCACTGAATGGGGATAACCTGCGCTCGGAAAGCGTTGTGCTGCGATCAACTTTGATGTACCGCTATTCTTTGCTCTTTCCTTTTTGTAGGAGATTACTGTTCGTGATCAATCGTTTCATGTCGGGGACTTTGTTTATGTCGAGTCACTTCACCCGCCCGGTGCTTTGCACCGTATCGCTCGCATCCTTAGTATTCGACAGTTTACCCCTCCCGCACACACATCTACCACACCCACTGTCAACGAAGGGGATACCGAGAAGCCGGAAGCTGAATCTCCTCCGAGCGCTGATACGTCGTCGCATCAAGTGATTCATGTTCATGTGGCCTGGTATTGGCGTCCTTCTGAAGCACACCCTTCTCGGCGTCGACGCCTTTTAACGTCAGAAGTGTTCCGCACCGCACTCACAGAGGTTATTTCCACGGGAAGGCTGGTGGGCCGCTGTCTCGTCATGCACATTTCACAGTTCATCCGACTTCGTGCCAAAGTAAGCACTTCTGTTTGATTTCGGATATTTGATATGTTTATAGGGAATCATGGTGTCGCTGTCTTCAAGAATTGTATTCGAACCTATCCGTACAACTATCATCTGACCGATTTGCCGCTTGTTTGTTGCTTGACTTCTAACGATTAATATAACTGGAGATACTTGACTAATTCACCTATTTCGACCACTTCCCACGCGTCGATATGCTCGTGCGTGCTATTTCATATATGGGTCTCTGACACCACTCTAGTGAGCGAGATATTTATTTTGATCTGAAAGTTCCAATATGCTGAACCACAATGCAGACCACTTTACTTCCGTGAGACGTGGTGTTATGTTACACTGGTGACGTCATATAACTAAAGCGAATTCCCGCCTAACCACCCCCAGATCGTGCCTTAGTGATTATGAGCTTGTTCACTATTTACCGTTTTTATCCTGTTATGCAATCGAGTTTTCTCACAGCGCTGTTGTATCTTCTTCGTTCACCACAGAGTAACTCGTCTTTCCAGACTTAATTATTATTTTGAATGAACTGACGTTGAACCATTCCGATTTACCTCAAATTTATTTCAACCAGATTGTAATTGTTTGTTCTTGCACTGATTCGTCATAGGGATTTTCAAACGCGGATACTATTTAAACGCCGTGACCGATGTTTTCTCAATCACTGTTTTTTATATCTTCATTCGACTCCTACCTTTTTTACAGTTCTGTTTACGTTTCTGACATCCAAACTCCTCATATACGCTATCACCACTGTGATCTAACTCTACTGCTGCATGTTTGAACCTTCTTCCTCTTTTAGAATATGGACGAACGGGATGTCTTTATTTGCGAATCTCAATTCTCAATCAAGTCACAGACCTTTGTCAAAATCCAGGTACCTTATATGAAGTCACACCATGTTAAGCGCGTTCTCTTATTTCAGTTGTTGCATTATCATCCTAGGATCGCACGCCGGTTAGTATACTCGACTAAGTTTGTTCCAATTGGGGACAGTTGTTGCGTCATTCGTCCTTTACGCTGTCGCACACAAACACGCACACACATATATATATATATATATATATATATATATATTTGTATCATATTTTTGATTTCACTGGAGGTGCAATCTACAAGGATGCTGTGAATCAGTATTGTTGGTAAAGTTTTCGAAACCGCCTCCCGTGTGTTGTCGGCTGACCAGAAGCTACAGCAGCGTCTCGAAGGCAGCGGCGTCATTCGGGAATCTAGAATACCGAGTGTGGAATAACCATCAGCTTACCGTTGACACGAAGCTGATAGTATACAAATCCATGGTGCTGTTCTTTCTTCTATACGGCAGCGAAATGTGGACCATGTACCGGCGCGACGTGAGATATCTCGAGCGTTTTCATCAACAGTGTCTGCGACCGATTCTGCGCATCGGTTGGTGCGACAAAGTTGCAGACACGAAGGTGCTGCGCCGTACTAGAATGTATGCAGTGGACTGCATACTTTTGCTGAGACACTTGAGGGGGCTCGGTCATGTGTGGCGTATGGATTCGACGCGGATACCGAAGCAGCTTTTATATGGTCGGCTGAGTGTAGGGAAACGACATGTGGGGAAACCGAAGCTTGGTTACCAGGACATGATCAAAGTGAGCCTCTCACGTTCTAATGTTGATTTCAGATCTTGGGAATCAAAAGCGGTTGATCGGCGTGCATAGCGTGATCTGATCTCGAAGGCCGTTGCCGAGGTGCAAGTGAAAGCCCTCTTGCATGTGGAGAAGCGGCAAGTGCGGAAGTGACGGGCGCCGTTGTGTTGTACTCCATCGACATCGAGCGCATGGTTCTGTAGCACATGCGGTCGCAAGTGTCTGAGTCAGACAGGCCTATTGAGCCATGAGCGAGGCCATTCGGGACCAACATCGATGCGTCGACAAGTCTTGCTGAGAACGTAGGCAGAACTGGCGCAGCGTTTGTAGGTACGCTGCATTCGGTTTACTGACCGCGTGCTTGCATGTTGGGTCTGTTTATTACAGGTGGTAGGTTTGCTATCTTGTCTTAATGCTTATACTTTTACCTCATTTTAACGTCTACCTGAATAATCCATTAACGTGCACAAGTCGCTTAGGCTAATTGTGTTTAAGTTCGCTAATGTTTTCGCGTTTGTGGCATATTTTAGGAAATATATTTCTAGACATCTTGTACTTATCGCGGATTTGTTGATAACCAATTTGTCTCATATGCTCATTTAGCGTAGACTTATGTCAGCATTTCCGTATGCGTTATTCGGTATATATTATTTGTTGTTCTCATTTCAAGTGCTTGTTTGTTGTTTGACATCCTTAGTGGGGCTGGGCTTGATGTGCAGGTTGACAAGGTGCCTACCTGTCTATTACCCACTACCTTGTCCATACTGGCTCTAGGAGACAGTTGGTCGTTGCTGGAGGGGACGGGGTGCACGGTCCTTGTGGCCGTGCTAGGCTCGAAGAGCGGTTCCATGCACTCAGTGTGGAGCGGACTACGGTCCAGCCACCGCCTTGTGTGCGCTTGATTCCCCAAATACAGCGTGCTCGTGTTTGCCTGTGAAGGAGTGTGGGCCGGCTCCGTTGACGAAACGTGGCTCCCATCCACATGCCTCCCGTTCTTATTCCTTCGGGCTTACACTGGATATGGGGTGTGTGGATGGAGCTGTGGGTGGTGCAGCGCAAGCCACCCATGGTCCCTCTGTAGGCGCAGGCGTCCTGTGGCTGGCCACAGTGACAGGCAAATCCGAAACCGGATGCCGCCAACCATATATATATATATATATATATATATATATATATATGTTTGACAACCTCTGGTTTCGGATTTGTACGTCACTGTGGCCAGCCACTGGACGCCTACAGAGGGACCATGGGTGACTTGCGTTGCACCACTCACAGCTCCATCCACACACCTCAAGACAGCAAATGTGGTAATGTGGCTATTGCTGCGTTTTCAGTTAGTCAAGTCCGATGTTCAAAATACGGCTGTGTTGATTACAAACGAATTACGGTATCCAGCTAACGTATCCGAAACTGTGTGAGACCGAACCGGAGTCCAATTTAGTTTTACTTAGTGATACCTCCTGCTTGCAGAGCTACAGTGGGCGACTGTTAACCGTTTGCAACAATTTCATCAATGCTCCTACTCATTGCTAATCAAATTCCCCCTCCGTACATGGCCGCTGTATAGGGGATGTCTTAACCTCTCGAGTCCAGCCACTGTCACGTGCAGTAGTCGCAGACTGTATGACGGCATGAGCAGTACACTGGTACGCAGTACCGATGCCTTGTTACCGCGCAACCAACACCGTTCGCATGTGGGTTATGTATACTACCAGGACCGCCCTGCCCCTACCCAGACTCGGACTCGTGCCGTCAGATTACAAGATTACAAGCTTATTATCTTTTGGCTACGGGTCGGCCCATGACAACGGAGGGTAGGTTACACTTTATCCCAGCTGGTTTACAAATTCAAACGGTCCGCCACCGTTTCCATGACTTAGTGTCATAAGCTGCTGGCTGCTTGTCGTATGCTGCTATGGGTCATGGGTTCGGTTCCCTATAGGGAACCGAGATAGTGCACACCACTGACCAGCCTCATAGGGTGAGACTATCGTCTGGTGCTTTTCCGATTTGGGCCTATACTGCTGCTGGGACAAACCAATAAAATATTTCACAGTAGCTGAACGTCTGTGCCGTGCACGCATGTTTAGACTCACTGATCTCCTCGATTCCTGACAGCAATGAGTGTGAAGGCGAATGATAGCTCGTAACTTCGAACCCAATGATCGTGGGGTCGAAATTATTGACACTGCCGAGGCACTATGCGTTAAAGTATAGTATATTCCAACTATCCTTGATTATGTTTTCATGGGTAGGGGATTTTGATATAGATAATTGAGGTTCGTCACAGCCAGCTTCCAAATCAGAGCGCTAGACTGCAGTTTCAGCCTTTTGGGCATTATCAGTAGTGCGCACTCATCGGATCTATCAGGATTCGAACCCATGACCACCAGCGACTTGCACCGCCAGTCAGCAGCTTATGCCACTGGGCCACGGGGGACAGCCTCGGACCGTCATGAGAGGTGTGCTGGGTGCCATAAATTTCATCGCTATTTTTCACCATCACACACTCCAATTTGATGGTTAGGAACTGTTTCTACATCCTTCCCACCTCCACTTTACCCCTTCAGGTACATATTTTGTGTAGGGGACCAAAGGATGCCGCTTTGTATCTTTAATTTGCGCCAGTCAGCTCTCTTTCATTAGTTTTGTCGCACCTCCAGTCCCTTACACCGCGTGGTGTTACGAAATGGGCTCACGCTTTTTTCAATCTCATCACTGCTACTAATCCGGGGAGTTTATTTATCCATCACACACTGTTCTATGCACTCCTATCAGAATTGGGAGATACCCGTCCCCTCTTACGTAGAACTGGAGCAACGACCCATGACTTTCGTTCCAACACGATTGCCTCCGAACGAACCGCTGGAGAACGCCCTTGAACAAGTGGACGCCTCCCTCTTCACCGATATGATTTACCCGCTTCCTCGTGTCTACACGGTACGATCACATCTATTACTTAATCACTCTCTTTTATACTTGCGCTCACTCTCACCATTTACTCCCCTCACTACGTCCATTCTTGTCTTGCTTTTCCGTGCAAAAATATCGCTTTGCAACTTGAACTGATGATCCCATCTAGCTGTCGGTTGAACGGCTTGAATCCATTCATTCGCATCTGCTGACGTACTTGTAAGCGCCTGATTGCTTCACAAGTTGCATTACCCTTGGCACAATATTAATTAACATAGACTGTTAAGAGTAATCGTCTGTAAACCTACCCTTCTCTTGGTTCATAGATCAAATTTCTGCGCAATAGCTCTCTTTTCTGTCGAACTTGATTTTCTGCACATCTTGCATTTGACCGATGTTGACTGGAGCAATTCATTTCCAACACACGATCCGGCACATTTATTGCCTAGCCTCAGCATCACTGACTCGATGTTTCCTTGACGCAAGGCCTTTCATCACAAACAGTGGAAAGTTGACTGCGTGCCCACTTTGTCACATTGTCGTGAATTTCCTAATTTGAACCTGGACAACTCACAACAACCCAGTGTGGGTTATATCCTATCTCACCTGATTACAGTCGAACGGGTACAGGTTCCCGCACCATTCACACATTCGCTGGATTTTACCTTGTTTTATTTCCCACCCTTGGCATATTCTCGTTCTAATTTTCTTCACCTCTTTTGACCCTACTCTATAGTCTATCGTGGCTGACGATCCGTCTGAATCGGATGATATTGTTATACACGAACAATACGTACATCAGAATGGGTTCTTAGTCAAGCTTGGTGAGTCTCCTCTCCATCAGCAGCCTGCACATACATGTTCAATACCAGAGAAAGCGCATACATCCACTTTGGCATTATGTCCGCTTATTTCCTTGTTTTTCTCCTTCTGTACGGCTTACTTGCTCATCGCTCCATTTTCACTTTGTCGCATGTGTGTGTAGGTGATTTCCTCTATGTACCAACCGGGGCTGCTTTGAGCGACAAACTCATAGTGCGTGTGGACAAACTATGGAAATCGAACGCGTAAGCTTCTTTTCCTAGCTTCATTTTTTTGATTACTGGTCGACGACAGTCCATGGAGGAAGCTTCTACATTTATATATTCCACCTTCCATTTTGCAGGCAGGATATGGTTTACTTCTCTGGACCGTCTTTTGTCTCGCCTTCTATGGTAGAGCACTTGCCTACGCGTATGTTTTACCCCAAAGAGGTGTTCCTGGCCAGCACAGAACACGCGACGTACGCTCTTGTCTCGGCAACCGGGAAGTGCTTTGTCATGCGTCCTGCCGATTATTGTCAGGGTGAGTCTTGTGTATTTGTTCTATACTGTACCTGCCTTGTACTGAGAGTTCGTTGATTGCTATTCATTCAACCACAATGCCGCCCTTTGTACATCATGGTAACTACCCAGTCCAGATTTATCACACAATTGTGAAAGAAACGGTAAATACGGTTGGTGCGACACGTCCTCAGGATGACGAGGGAAACGATGTCCAACATCAGCTAATAACGGCAAACCTACAAACACCAGCTTACTGATAAATAAATGTCGTATACTTATGCCTTCCCCACCTGTGTGATTGACACGGACCACACAGCTGCGCCATGTCGGATACACTCTCTGACGTACCGCGGTGCCACTGTTTCGGCAGATAGCGCTTACTATCGCGCTACCAAGTTGCTCGGTCAATTTCTTTGTGACTTCTTGTTTTTTATTCTCACCTCGCAACCCTGAAGCCTCACCTAATTAGACGTGGGCAAAGAAGACAACTCATTTGCACAAGACGAGATAGTGCGTTGTTACACTTAATATTACCGGTTGTAGGCATATTTTGTTGGTATCTTACCTGCCACACCAGTAACCTCTTGCGTTGGCTGACAAAACAAAACTTCCCGTCACCATACACGGCTGAGGAGTTGAAAGCTCACACGAACAGCAACACTACAAACCGCACGATGTCGACTGGTGGCCGAAACGATACATTGTAATCCAAAAGTCATCGGTTCGAAACTGCGTACGGGCGGGTGACTTCACAGCCAGCGTGCAACTAGTGGTGGTTACGTGGCAGCGAAGCAGCGCAATGCGCTAGCGTACTGCTGGTGCCAACTAGGCAGGTGGCATGGATTTGCGCACGTTTCCTCCATCATAGTTGATGAGAGAAGGATAATTCCTTTCCACCTCCAACCTGCAGTAAACTGTGCTGACGTTTCCGTAGCTCTACACAGGACCTAATGACTCGTGTGGAGAAGATTCCAGATTAGAGAGGGATTTCTCTGATTCACATCGTAATGACAGGCAGCTCTACAAACAAATTCGGTCGACGGTGGTTTCCAAACCGAGAAAGGTCACCACGGTCGGCGGTTGCTATGGCCAGCAACGAGGCACACAACGTCCCATGGATATTCCTGCTGACAGATGCGTTCCGCAGTGTCGCCTTACCTATCGTTGCAAGCCCTACTTGGGGACAGGATGCGATGTGTTCCGTAGACAGTTACGTATCCACGCCCATATAAACCTCGCAATTAGCTTCAATACTATCAGATGGAGGTACAGTATTTATCTCAGTATTATCTCCGGTTTTATTTCTATGCAAGCAACATTCCTGAAATTGCTTAAGCCAATCGTTTGCTCCCATTAACTAATCATAATTCCGCTTTAATCTAAACGTCTGACCAGACTACAATTTTCAAACCACGATGCGATTAGATCAATGCGACCATACTTGTGTAAAGAGCGAGCACTAGTACAAGCTCTTCTCTTGCCATGTCCGTGAGTTGATTTGATCACGAACGTCATTCGCCTCGATCAATACCGGGGACCCATGTTAGATCTGTCGCTGTAGTACGCGATTTATGTTGATCTGAACTCGTTCACTGCTAGCTGCGAATCCCAGCCAAAATCAAAATTCGATGTCTGTAGGCAACAACCATGTTGTAGATGCAGCTACCGGAACGGAGCCAGGGGTTGTGAAATCAGCGGATATTCATAAGTCAGCCAAGGAAGGTTCACTCATCAGAACAGCTAACTCACTTGTCCTGATCGGTAGATTAGTTCCGTTAGCTAATGGGAAGTTAACTATTCGTGCGTTGTGTACGCGAGCGCTCCTGAAACGGTTTGTTTTCTTTTTTTGGTACCCCATTGACTCAAACCCGCTTCCACATTAAATTAATGAGCTTTCCCGGGAGCTTTTACTCAACCCACTTGTGCCCCGTCATCCCACAGACCTTTTACTGTGTGTTTATGTACATGCATCTATTGTTCATTTGTTCTCCGAGCTTTGCGGTTTTGTCGCAAACGTTTCACCACCATGCGAGGTGGCATCCTCAGTTCAGTGATATGCGGCGTGCATGCATCTGTGCAACTGCACTACAGTCATCATCGATAGGACAGTCGGATCAACGAACAGTGCCGTTTATTATGATACAACCAGCCTAGCATATTGATACATAAACACTCAAGCGTGTGCAGCTAATGACAAAATGATTGTCATGGGGCTGACAGTGGGGGTTAATGGAATCGCCTGCCGCAGTGTGGTCGATCAGTCAATCGATCGAGTGGGCAGGTGAGTTTTAAAAATCACAGTTAGTTGCACTTTGCCTCAGACTTGTGAATATAGCGTTTGTGTGCAGAGTCGGGGCGAGTTCTTTCTTTTGACGCGGCTGGGGAACCCAGGCACAAAACAAAGATTAATCTTCGAGGCAACAAAAGTTCAGACGAACCTCCTTGATGCAGAAATGGATCTTTACCAAACTTATGTTGTTCGACGACTAAACCATCCACAAGACTGAACAAATCACAGATATCAGTGAGAGACATCATCGATGCCTACATCATTGTTCAGCACACCGGTCAAGGAAATGACGGACAGATGCTGGGTCCTGGCATCCTGCAGTACATCGAGCACATCGACATTCGGAGGATATTTTTCTGCAGACACGACAACGGTTGAAGGAGACTGATGTCCACTTTTCAACGTCCTCAGAAGGCTAAACGCCACTCACCAGAGGTGTCAGCACGGACGTCAACAGTGCCACGACGGTCGTTTATCCGTATACCTATGCTCGTGGCTTCTCGGCATACGCACCATAAAACAAAAGGAGGTACATCCCCATAGACGAGAGTGGATCTAATCTTCAGACGTCATGAATTCATGCCTGCTCAAGAAAAGAGAAGTGCACGAACGTAATCTTGCCACCACTGTCAGAGGCCGCATGCTAATGCTAATTATGGCGATGAATAATCAAGATCATCCTGAATGCTGGGACTTGTAATCGCGAGGATTTCTCCATGTTCGTCGGAGAGTGAAGATGGACGACAGCATGCATATACCATGCGACCTAAGCAGGATCTTTTACTCGTCGTATCATGTGGAGTTTGGTCGCCTTAATTCTCCATGCTAAGTACAGAACGTGTACGGAATGTGTTTTCGAGGGTCAAAGCGTCAGCGAACCGCCTGCTAAGCAACTCAACATTTGACCAGACAGTTGGCTTAATTATTCAAGTGAACGTCGGAACGGCAGCACAGCGGTAATCCTCTGTGATGATGAACTTGACGTCAGCAGCTGTGGGATCACCTTTCGTCGCCTGAATGTTGTTGTTTTCCTCCTTGCTAATACATTGCAATTGTTTTGCGTAAAAATGAACTGTATCCAGTTTGGTTTAAAAATCGGCTAGTTGAATCTGCAAAACATCACAGATGGCTTGAAAACTGTCCAGTACAATGTTATGATGCTTTACTCTCATTGACTGGACGCTGCGCGATCTTTCATTGATTGGTTTCTGGCCAATCAATTTCGAGCACCGCTTATCCAAGACTGCAACTGCGAATAGAGCGTAGACAACTCCTGTGACCATTTCTCCTTAGCTTTCTGTTTTGAGCACAACCTAAAGTACATGCTGGCATTGTATCGTGATCTCAGTATACATATGCCTCAATCTCTTGATGTGTACCAAATCGCAGTAGATCTTTATCCATAAGGGTAGTATACCCGCCATATCAATATTAAAACCCCGACCACCGGTTCCATGAAACTGCTGCTCGTTGCTGAAGTAGATGGATCAACTCGTGGTTTCACCACGAATCGTCCCACGATCCGGCAGTCGTCTGCCTCCGGAGATTGATCGCAGCGAACTACGGAAATACTGGGATCATAGGGAATCGGTAACGCTTCACACGCCTCAGCGCGTGTTTAGATTTCATGCATACTTTATTACAAAGTTACACGAACAAATGACCATCATCCCCCACATATGAGTCCCGCTTTCATAAAAGCCCGCGTAATTCATCGTGAAGCAACATCATGAAAATGATTGGAACCGATCTAGAACACCTGGTATCAGAAAGCTTTGGAGTGACACTTTGACCGTTAACGCGGTCGACCTTTTGCCTACATCCCATTCGTCGTGATTATCTTTTCAATTCTCTAGAAGGGCTGTACAAATCCTCGACTAGTTTACTCGGCCTGACAAAGTTTTCATGTCAAAACTGAAACGTCGCCCACAGATTATACCAACCGGTTGTTTTCAAACCTTTCTGAAGTCATTTTGTGGAGTACTTTTTATTCGTTGATACTTCAAGTGAACCTTGGGGGACCATTTCATCCATGACTCACCACATCTACCTCCGAATGGTGCTTGTTTGTATGCTATCTGGGTAACAGCTATGGTCTTCACCCAACTTTCGGTTTTTATGAGATATATAGAAGTTGTTTACGGAACTATGCAAACGATCTATAATCTTTATACGAACGTAGACATCATGTGAGACAGGATTATCGCTGTCACCGCCGTCGATAGAGTTGTGGGAATTGCGTTCACCAGACACGACTTAGGTGTGGGACTGCTTCCTTATTTATAGTATGCCTACAATATTGTTATAATCTGTGACAGCTCACAAAGGTGCAAATCACCTCTGGACAGCTTAGCACTGATTGTCGGTCATTTTGGACTTCGCTTTGCACTATCCAAATGCGGAGCAATCATCTGGCATTTCATGGCCTATCTTCTGTACAAACCCTTAGTGAGGTCAGTTAGAAGTTGTCCAAAATTTTGAATATCTAAGCAGCTGTATCAGCACCAAAGATGAGGTCGCGAACTGTAAAATAAAATCTCTAGACGCCTTTGCGCTATTACCCACCTGTTCCATCACTCAACTTTCTTACAACATGTAAAGAAAATAAAGGCGGAAATACTGTTACAATACCATCAAATAGTCCCCAGGATTCCTCACGAGTTTTAGTAATATTTCCTCCCCAATAACACTCATTCACTACTTGTTTTACTGCACACTGTCATAATGAACCTCAGAAAAATTCCCGCATAAAATCCAGAGCAATGCTCGTCATTTATAGCACCGGAGCGACATCAATCTTCCTTTGTGGAATGTACTACGCAGCCGTTCGTAAGACCTTGCTTGTTGGTCGCCTAGTTTGTGGTGAAGGAATACGACGTGTACCGCTCCGCACTGTTACTTCGTTATCTATTCTCCGATGACGGGGTCACGTGTTACGCATGCCAGGACCGACTCCTAGGAAATGCGTTGTTTGAGTGACCACTGGGAGGGGGGGGCAACAGATTACAGTCGAAAGGAATGAGAACCCTCTTCGAAGTTGGTGTACAGGGTGTTTTATTAACCATGTCCGGAGCTCGGAGCGGCTGCACTCAGGTGCTGACGTACCCCGGTACGCTGAATTGCTAACTGTCCAATGACCCAAATTGCTTTGCCGGCAGGGGTGAGAAGGGGAACAGAGGCGCGACATGTGTGTCTACGATCGCAGAGCACACCAAGCCGTTCGGCTGTGAGAAGTGAACGTAAGAAAACACCACAGCCGCAATCGAGCTGTCATGCGTGGATTGCAGGACAAGACCAAGGGAACACATACCGTTCGGTTGTGAGGACTGGACGTTAGCCAGACACCACAATCGCACTGAACGTGTCATGATGTGATCGATCGGTAGTCGGCCTTCACGCAGGTGAAAAAGCCCGTAAGAGGGTTCCCTGCGAAGTGGTTACTGGGTCGCTGTGCTAACGATTGAGAAAGACAGTCTGGCCATATGTGATGACCGGTCGATGGGTGCCGTATTGCTATCGCCACAAAAGCTGTTATCGCCTCATGGCTGGCTTCCAACAAATCCGTAAGCTTTTATTAGGCTGCTTCCGCTGCTGAAGAGAATCATACTGCCGGAAGCACATTGTAAGGTTAGTGTTGTTCGCTCTACCGTTTCAATCGCGTGTGTGTTACAGCTGAGAATTCACCCTTCATGGGTGCATAAAAACGCATTCTTAACTTGACTTGAGGTGACAATGCGCTTAGCTTTAGTCTGCTCCGACGCACTGGTGGCACCATTAGACAGCACACCAATTTAGTCATGAATGCAACTATTGCCGTCACAGTCAGATAATTGCTAGTTGTACAAATTGATCAGGCCTTCGATAGTGTTTCTCGTGTACGATGGATAAGACACATTTATTCATTACTT